ATCAGGATATTCTGAAGTCATGGAAGTGTTTTCGGGCAATATCAGTATCTGCTCCAAATATTCAGACCAAATGCTTCACAACCTCATTGGATGAGCCCGCTTCACAGTGGCAGATGGACAATGACAAAAAGCATACTACATAAAAGCAACCAACAGAATTTTTAAGGCGAAAAGAAGTGGAATGTTATGCAAACTGGCCAAAGTCCAATTCACCTGACCTGAATCCGATTGAGCATCTGCATTTCACTTGCTGAAGACAAAACTGAAGGAGAAAATGCCCCAAGAAAACAAGCAGGAACTGAAGACAGTTGCAGTAGAGGGCCTGGCAGAGCATCACCATGGTTGAAACCCAGTGTCTGGTGATGTCTATGCGTTCCAGACTTCAGGCTGTAATTGACTGCAAAAGATTTGCAAACCAAGTATCTAAAAAGTGAAATGTTTGATTTATGATTATAGTATTCTGTCCCATTACTTTTGGTCCCTTAACAAGTGGGATGCAAATATGCAAACTGTTGTAATTCCCTACAACCGTTCACGTTACGCCTGATTTGGATGTAAATACCCCAAATTAAAAGCTGACAGTCTCAGTTTAAAACACATCTTGTTTGTTTACATTTCAAATCCATTGTGGTGGTGTAGAGAGCCCAGAAAATGTTAGAATTGTGTTGATGTCCCAATATTTATGGACCTGACTGTAATATTCTTTCCAAAAAATTTACGTTTGAAAAATTCCTGGCCAAATACTGTATGACAGAAAAAATATATAATGTTGGGGTTCCTAAAGTAAATTTCTAGCAAAAAAAAAGTTTTTTTCAAGTAAAACAAAAAGTGTCAGAAACAGGTTTTCTAAATGGTTGTGCTAGGCTGAAATGGCAGGATAGTAAAAAAGCACCAGGCCTCACACCCCCCCCCCCCGTTTCCTAAATGACCCCTTTTTGGAACGGTGTATTTTTTTCTTTTCTTTCATTCTTTTTCAAAACCCTGTGACCAAATGATATCTGCAAAATACTCACCATGCCTCTTATCTAATTCCTTGGGGTATCTACTTTCCAAAAGGGGTCATGTGGGGGATGTTTGTACTCATCCTGGCAATCTTTTATGGGCCGTCCGAAACTGTGATAGGTAGTGAGGAAGTGATATGAGGAAATATGCCCTTTGAAAGCCTGGAGGTGGTCATTGGATTTTGGAGACGTGTAATGTGGCTACGCTGCCAAAAAGTTTCATGTGGTATCCCCCATACTTGAAGAAGTAGCAAATGTGTTTTTGGGTGTTATTCCACATATACCCATGGCATGCATGAGCAACATATAATCATTTAACTGACAAATTTTGTGTAAAAATAAATAAATAAAATTGTCATTTTCCAATAATTTTGGCAAAAAATAAAATGTTCCATGGACTCAACATGGGCTCTCCGAAAATTCTTTGGGGTTTCTACTTTCCAAAAAGGGTCATTTGGGTTTTTTTTTTTGTACTGCCCTGGCATTTTAGCACCTCAAGAAATGTGATAAGCAATTAAACCACTTGCCATCCGCCTGCTGTTTATAAACGCCAGGACGGTGGCACTCCAGGGGCGGGTTGCCGTTCATAAACGGCATCCGCCAATTCTAGCAAGCTGTGCGGGGGCTCGCTCCGTGGGAGCGCGCAGCACCCGCGATCCGGTGCCCGCTGTGTCCTCTGGGACACAGTGAAACACTGATCGTCGGACGGGATCCCGATCCCAATCAGTGATCACATGCAAAGTAGTAAGCAAGATGTCACTTGTGACATCATTGCTTACTATGTGTGAAATCTGTGAATGATCACAGAGGTCACATGGTACAAGGCTATTCACAACAGCCTTGTACCATGTGACAAGCTGTGACCAATCACAGCTCACTCAGTATTTCTCAATGGCTGCAAGAATGCAGACAGAGAGAAGGAGAAATGATTGCTTTTACATCCTATATGGGTGTAAAAGCAATCACTGTAAAAAAAAAAATTTTCTTCACCCCCCACAAATAGTACAGTGTCACCATGGTGACACTGTACTACTGCTAGGGTGACAGTATGTTTAAAAAATAAAAAACATAAATAATAATATATAAAATGTAAATAAAATATTTAAAAATTATAATTTGTGGTTATAAACTAATTTGGCTTATTGTTTTTTTACTAAAAAGATAACGGAATACATTTCAGCCAAGATTTATGATGAAAGATTATTTATTTGCAAAATTTTATAAGAAAAACACTTTTTTTCAAAATTTTTGGACTTTTTCATTTACATAGCAAAAAAAATAAAAATCCCAGCGGTGAATAAATACCCCCCAAAATAAAGCTTTATCTGTCAAAAAAAAAAAAATGGTAAAAAATTCATATGGGTACAGTGTTGCATGACCGCGCAAATTGTCATTCAAAGTGTGATAGCGCTGAAAGCTGAAAATTGCCCTGGACAGGAAGGGGGTAAAAGTATCCGGACAGGAAGTGGTTAATATACATGTATTGGGATTTTTTTTTTTTATCAAAGACATGTAGCAGAATACATTTTGGCCAAATGTATGACTAACTTTGAGTTTACTACATATTTTTTATAACCGAAAGTAAAAAAAAATTTGTTTTTTCAAATTTTTTAATCTTTTTTTCGTTTATATCACGAAAAATAAAAACCCATTGGTGATCAAATGCCACCAAAAGAAAGCCCTTTTTGTGTGGAAAAAGAGGACATAAATTTTGTTTTGGTACAGCATTGCATGACCGCGCAATTATCAGTTGAAATAGCGCTGTGCTGAATAGCAAAAAATGGCCTGGTCATAAGGGGGGTAAGCCTGGGTTCACACTGATTCGGTCCAGAATTTGCAGCGTTTTCTGTTCAAATTCGCACCGCATCATAATCGCACCCCGTTTATGTGAATCGCTGCGGGTTTGTATGCTAAGTTAACAAACCCCAAAATGGGTCCGCAAAATGCTGTGCGTTATGCGAATCGGATCTCATAGGTGTGAATACCTATGCGATCCGATTCTAGCGCGGACCCAAAAAAGGGTCCTGCACCTTTTTGGTGCAGATGCGGTGCGATTTGTGCCATACATAACTTATAAAAAAATGACTTGGTTGCAGTTTAATTTGACATTATGGGTATAGATCCTTAAAAGGTAAGGCTGGCCATAGCTGGTTTGAATCTCGGCCAGTTCAGCAGGAACCGGATGAGATTCGAACCCTGTCTGGGCAGGCTGAATGTACCAAGTTGATTGATCAATCAACTTGGGTACAACCAACCTGATAGATTTACTTGCGATTATCACTATTGGCTGCTATAGCGGCCACTGGGAGAAGACCATTGCTCAGCAGGAGGGATTCCCCCATAAGCACTGTGTGTTGATGGGGGAATCATGCAAATTTCATGTGAAACTTACACAGTCTATGGTCTGCCTAAGTTTTTGTAATAAAGCTGGGGAAATGTTTGAAGAGACTTGACTGTAATTTATCTGGCAGCTAGAAAGACTCTAGAGCAGGGGTGTCCAAACTTTTTTCCAAGAGGGCCAGATTGGATGAAGTGAACATGGTGGAGGGCCAAACATTTTTCCGAACATTCTTTGAACCATTACAATTAAATGCAAATAAATTATTTTATGCCAAGTTAATTGCAAACGACATACTTTTCATTTGATAACATTAAGATCAACTGACAGCTGAGTTTTCACAATGCATTGAAAACAAATTTAAAAAAAAACTTACCTGCACTAATGTGAAGGGTGAAAAAGGTAGCTGGAGCTGAAGTCTCTGCTCGGCAGCCGGGAGGGGAAGAGAAACACACTTCATGCTGGAAGCCCGGCCCTGACGTCACCGCCCTCTGTCGCTCCCAGCGCACGGCGCAGTCACGCATGTGCACTGCTCTCAAGCAGAAGACTGTCTGCCACAGAAGGGAGGGCCGTGCGGCAGCCGCATTTACACAGACCAGGGAGAACGCGCCGCAGTCAGGCATGCGCACTGCCCTCTGCTCTCAAGCAGAAGACTGTCTGCCATAGAAGGGAGGGCCACATTACACAGAGCAGGGAGGGCTGTTGGAGGGCCGTATTAAAACCGACCCGCGGGCCGGACTTTGGACATGCCTTCTCTAGAGAGAGGTTTTCTCAATGAGTTATATATGAGCTGACTGGTGATTTTATGAACAGTTTAATGCATTGATGTTGCCTCCTGTTTCTGACTCTTAGTATTAGTTCTGAGTTGCAAGGTGTAACGCTCCGGCTTCATGAAATTGTGGCCCGTTTTTTAGCAACATTTACCAGAAAACAGAATCATATTTTTATCTTGAAGAAGCAGTTCACACTTTGAGATTCCACATTGTATGAGAAATGGAGCTTAAACATCCTGTGCTTGCAAATGCAGTTGTAGAAACTGGTTTGGCTTGGTTATATGCTTACCAGATGGATGGCTGTGCATTGCTTATAGTAAGCTTAGCCATTGCACTTAATATATCGTACTACAGAAAAATATAAAGAAACATAAAGCTACTTTTTCAGGTCTGTGTGATTAAATCATCTGGCTCTGTATGGTTCTTGATATCATTTTTATGGATTGCTTAAAATATGGAAACTCAATGTGTATTATCTTAACCACTAGCCTACAGGGCACTTATACCCCCTTCCTGCCCAGGCCAATTTCCAGCTTTCAGCGCTGTTGCACTTTGAATGACAATTGCGTGGTCATGCAACACTGTACCCATATGAAATTTTTATCATTTTTTTGTGACAGAGCTTTATTTTGGTATTTAATCACCTCTGGGTTTTTTATTTTTTCCTAAACAAAGCAAAAACCACTAAAAATTTTGGAAAAAAAATGTTTTTTCTTAGTTTTTGTTGTAAAAGTTTGTAAATTAGTGATTTTTCTCCTTCACTGATATGCGCTAATGAGGCTGCAGTGATGGGCACTGATAGGCTGCACTGATGGGCATTGACAGTCATCACTGATGGGCACTGAAAGGCAGCACTCATATATGGCACTGATAGGCGGCACTGACTGGCACTGTTAGGCGGGACTGATAGGCAGCACTGACGGGTACTGATAGGTGGCACTGATGCACACTGATAGGCGGCACTGACTGGCACTGATGGGTGGCACTCACTGGCATTGATAGGTGGCACTGACTGGCACTGATGGGTGACACTGAAAGGCAGCTCAGATGAGCACTGATATGTGGCGTTGATGGGCACTGAAATGTGGCACTGATGGGCACTGGCAGGTGGCATAGATGAGCATTGAGAGCTGGCACTGATGGACACTGACAGGTGGCGCTGCTGGGGCTACACAGATCATCAGTGCTCTGATGGTCTGTGTACATGTCCCCTCTGAGGAATGCCGATTTACTGGCTCTCCTCTCCTCACGAGCTGTCAGTGGGACAGCTCGTGGGGAGAGAAATGCCGATAACCTGCATTTCCCTGTTTACATGTGATCAGCTGTCATTGGACACAGCTGATCACATGACCGAGCCGACATTTTCGGCTGTTTCCATGGATCGGTGATCCGCTGTGTCCGAGGGAGCGGTTAATAATTCAGCACAGGGCACAGGCCAGGTATTCATAGACTCTGGGTGATAGGCTTGTACCTTCAGGTGATTGGACGCTGGCTAAGCTTTCAAGGGCATGCCCACCCTATAACCCTAACCCCGCTCCGTGAGTCCTCATTTTTTCCTAGTGGCTCAGGGTGATGTACCTCTACTCCTTTGCAAATAAATCACTCTTATCTTAAAGAATATGTAAACCCAACATTTCATATTCTTGATATGTGCCTGTTGTATCATGTACTTGTATGAAAAAATACCCTGTTCTCTTTGCAGTGCTTCCTTTGAGTGAAATCCCTGGTTTTCCTTCCAGTCCCTCTGCTTCCCTATTAAAAATTGACCACACACGGCATGAGAGCACAGCATGGTCAGTTCTCTAGCTGTGCTGGGAACTCAGCCTGCTCTCCTCCATTGATCAGACTTGTGTTTCACACACACCCCACCCTTTCGCAGCCATTCACTAGATCTCTGTTCTCAGATACATAAGGAGCCTAGAGGGTGTGTGATCACTTATAAAACAGAGAGAAAGGTATTAATAATGTTTTTATATCCATGCACAAATGCTTTGCCTTTCATTTCTATTTTTAACTGAACAGGTTGTAGGGATGCGCCGAAATATCGGCAACTGAAATGTGCTGATAATGGCCACCGAAAACAAGTGATTTTGCTCTGATTTTACCACAATTTTACCACGTTTAAGGTGCATTGTTCATAGGTCATGGGACTAAAAAAAAAAATGCATCAAAACGGAACACGTGTACTCTTGATGGGTTTTCAATGCATTTCAGGCCTGGTTCACATAAATGCAGTTTGCATTTTGTCCGTTTTTGCAGTCTGATGTGTGTTTTTTGCATGCGCATTTTTTATGCTTTTTTATTTTCTTTTTTTGGCCAACTTGTTGCTGGGCAGATTAAAAATGCAAAGCGCATCAAAAACGCGGCAAAAAGCATGCAGCATTTGCACTACATGTGCTTTCTGCAGCATCTCCATTGAAGTCTATGGATCCAAAAATGCAACGTTTTGTGTTTTAAAAAAAAAAAAAAAAAGTCCCTGACCCTTTCCAAAAATACAGCAGCTCAAAAAAGCATAGATGTGAATGTGTCCCAGTCCAGGCCTCAATGGAGGAGGTGCATTTAGGAGCGGCAAGAAGGATTTTCTATACCGCAAGGGAAGCGCAATGGACTAGCATGAAGACATACTGTACATTGAATTTAAAGGGATGCATTTTTCTTGAGCTTTTCTTGTGCCTTTTTTTTTTATTAATGCAAAAAACCGCTCAGTGTAAAAGCAGCCTGTTGGCCACCAGGTGCTGAAAATAAATTCATATTCATTAATTCAGTTCATTCAATGAATGATATTTAATTAAAAAGTTGAAGATAACATATTTAAAAAAAACATTTTTTTAAAAAACTGTCCATTTCGGTTTCTGTTTTCAGCCATCCTGATTTTTGTGTTTTGGTTTTGGTCCAAGAATTTTAATTTCTGTGAACCACTAAAGAACAGTGATTCTTCTCTTAGCTAGTAGACTGCTAAATTCTAAATATTATGGAGAGCAAGTCAGCAGGACTGTGGAGAAACCTCATCTTACCACATGCAACCTCATTTGATAGCCATTACTTATAACTTAAGATGTGGATAGGTGCATAGACTGAAGTTTTATCATTAAGGCAGGCTCACTATCAAACACAATTACAGGTTCTAGCTCAAAACCTGGAAATTGCATTTATCAGCCTCATTAATGATGTGAACTACATTGCATACATACAATTTAATTGCTGTGCTGTATGCATATTCTTTAATCACTTCCTGCCTGGCCGGGCGGGACAAGCATTTTTCTGGGAGGATATACCTGTACATCCACCCAGAGCAGGCTCTCGTGCCCACCTTGGGGCTGCAAGAGTGGCACAATCTGTGACCTCTGTGTCCAATCGCCGATCAAGATAATGGGCTGCTGTGATTAGCCCTGACACCATGTGATCTCTGTAACAAATCACAGCGATCACATTAGTAGTAGTAGTAAACAGTGGCTGTCCTTCATGATGCCATTGCTTAGCAGTGTGATCTTTGTGATTTGGTCACAGTGATCACATGGTATAGGGCCAAACACAGCAACCATTTGATGGCATTGGCCTATCACAGCTTTTACAATAGTGCTCAATGGCTTATACAATCATCATGGCTGTGTAAGCAATCACAGTGTAAAAAAAAAATCCTGAATGACCCACCCAGAGCAGTACAGCATACTGCCCTGGTCGCAGTATGTTCCTGATCACTGCTACACAAGTTTTGCTGTCACCGGACCAGTGCAGCCAGCAACAATGTTCCTGATCACTGCCACACCAGTGCAGCATTGCCTCTGCCTGTTGCTTATACTAACCCTGGCCTATTCATTGACCATGTCTCTGTCTGTGGCCTGGACTGACCCATCTACATGTCCTGCTGACTATCGTCCTGTGAGACACAAGTACCAGCCATTCCCTGCGGAGATCTGCAGTCCTGGAACCACAGAAACTGTTTTGTTATTCCTTTCTTCAGCCTCTTTTATTTCTGGCCACTGAACATGGCATTTCTGGGGGCAGCCATGTACCAGCAGGTTAGGCTTGCTTGGCATATAGGAACTGGAAATGCTATAGGTGATGATACACTAAGCTATATTCCCTGACCACTCATACAGAGGTGACCCTTACAGTACTTTGGTTTTGATACAGTTGGTTGATTAGTGTGAAACACAAAATACATCTACAAATCTGGTACATAATCAGTCCAAGCATTGAAAATGTTTCACACATGTGGTATCTCCATACTCAGGAGAAGCATAATGAAAAAAAGCCTAAAAAACAAAACTAAAGCAGCCGTCACATATAATCACTGGTAAGCTGCCATATATTAAATTTTTGGTTTTGATTTCAATGGGATTTTATCAGAACACGGATTCTGTTTGGTTTCTATACATGTTACCTGGGCAGTGCAAAGTTAAATTTCAGATGTACCTAACCCATTTGTAGCCTTTCCTACCTTTTTTTGGGAAATGAAGAATGCTTAAATGTGAATTTATAATGTCTTGCCGAGAGATTTTGAAGAAATAGCAACACAGTATGGTGGCAAATAACAGAGACGATATGCACAGCCACATGGAGGTACAGCCCTTATTTCTGAAAACAGAGTATTTTCTTTGCATTGCTGCTTTAAATGGCAGTTATAGAAAAATTTTTTTTTTAAAATGAAAGCAGAAAAACCAGTGCAATGAAGGAAAAATTGAGTAAGTGACCATATTGTTATCTATATTGTGGAATGTTTTAAAATGACCCTTGAAAATTGTAATCTCGGAAATGGATTTTCCAGGATCTTCGGCTGCTCCCTTTGTGGGTGGCTCAAGTCCATAAGCTTTGGATGCGGTGTGTGTTCGCTTTGTTGTATTTGACAATCTTGAAGAGAAGCATCGATTAACTTGTACATCCTTAAGTTGGATCATTACTCCAAGAACAACACTTCTAAGGTAACAGGTCAGGAGGAACATCAACATAGAGGAAATAAAATTACCTAGGATTCCTGGAACCGAAAAACATTCATCAACTGGATAGAAAAAGTGTTGAGAATTTCCGTGGATGCACAGAGAGACTGGTAGTTAGGTAACCGATGCCTGTTCATTGACACAGTTTGGCTACTCTAAATATGCACTAACGTCCAGGGGCGGACTGGCAACTCATGGGGCCCCTGGGCAATAGGGGATCATGGGGCCCCTGTGTCCTTGCCCAAACTCAAAAAAGCCTATGAAAAAGGTACCAGGGGCATCTCATGGGGCCCCCTACTGACCCCGGGCCCTCGGCCAGTGCCCAAGTTTCCAAATGGTCAGTCTGCTAGCGTCTATAGTTTTTTTTTGTGGGATTTCTGGTTTAATCATTGTGACCAAGGCAGAATTTTTGGAAATTTAAATAAAATTACCTAGGATTCCTGGAACAGAAAAACATTCATCAACGGGATAGAAAAAGTGTTGAGAATTTCCGTGGATGCACAGAGAGACTGGTAGTTAGGTAGCCGATGCCTGTTCATTGACACAGTTTGGCTACTCTAGATATGCACTAACGTCTATAGTTTTTTTTGTGGGATTTCTGGTTTAATCATTGTGACCAAGGCAGTATTTTCGGAAATTTTAAATGTTTACGTTCATAAACAATCAGATTTGTGTGGATTCTCTGATTCCAATTGCAGTGTTCATTTTTTAAAAAAAAAACATTTCACAGTTCTCTGTGCTGCAGATTGTGTCAGTATTAGTCATTTTATTAAATTACAAATTGAAAAAGAAAAGCTTACTTGTGGCTGTTGTGAATTTGGTTGTTGTGCTTTATATGGTATTTTAGCTTTTTATAAAGAGTAAACTTGTACATATGTTGTGGTGGTCATTTCACGATTATAGATATAGCATTTCTTTCTGCAGAAGGTAGTCAGGAAATTCCAGTGGGTGTGAATATCGAATGTGTTTTACATACATTTTCTCATGTATCGATCATGTGATAGAAGTAATGCTGACCTGTACATTATATGCTGTCAGGGATAAAGGGTGAGGACCTTCTAGCTGGTGAGGTAAGGGAGGAGGAGCAAGAGATAGAAACCTGCTTATTACAGAGTATTAATCCGTGTCGTCACATCCTCCGCCAGGCTGGGAGGCAGCAAAGACCGGCAGCCTCGGACCTGATGATGTGCCAGTCACCGAGGGGCCAGCACGGTCCGGACCTTTACCCGAGGAGATGGTGAGATGCCGGAAGCCTGCAAACAACCCTGCTCCCTTCAGATGTAACCTGCGCAAAGTGAAACTTCATGTTCGCCGAACACGAGCAGCCAGTGCCAATAACAGTGCCAGGGAAGAACAGACAGACCCAGCAGAACCAGCGAAACCTGACAGTGCTTCTACCAGCAGACGGGCACGCTTCAGGTACCTTCAGATTGCAGGTCAGCCAAAATGAGGAAAGGACAGGGAGAGCAATGGCTAAGCTTTTGTTTGGCCTAATTAGGCAAAAGCTCCTTATGTATTCAGTGGAGTGAGGGGTGGGGGAGAGAGTGATGCTACGGTGTGGTCAGTCGGGCAGAAAAGCAGCTTGCTCAGCATTTGCAGTGTGAAAGAGGCACCAGGCCTGAAAGGAATGTGTCACTGGAAGGGATGGATGGGGAAAGAGGCAGAAAAGCAGGGATTGGTCCATGGCTGTCTGCAATGTAGGGGGAGTGTGAGAGGCGGCTCTGGCTCCTGGGTACCTCATCTCCTGCTTGACGGCAGTGAATAAGATCTTGAGCTGAATGTCCCGACATTTCACTTAATGTGAGTTGCTTTGTGTTTTTTGGCGATGGCACTTTGATGTCAGCCCTTTTTGTGTTTTTCACCCATATTTGCAAAATCGCTGTTGGAATGGATGATGGTCTCTATAGTATTTTTACATTGTTCCTTTGCAATTGATCTGTACTCTTTGTGCTTGGGTCAGCTGGACCCCTGCAGACAGCATAGAAAATCTGATTTGTATCTGGATAATCAGCAGCAGTGATAGGTTAAGAAGGTACTTATCTGTGTCTGGTGAGGTTGGCCCAGCTCTTAAAAACTTTACTTTGTGGAATCTGATTTATTGAACATGAATGATGTCTTCTGGTGGGCAAATGTGTGTTTTAATTAGCTGGATTTGTATCCATGCAAGTTTGTCTTGTGGTCCTTTTTAGTTGTATGTGGTACACCCTCATCCTAGGAAATAAAGGCTTGAGGCCTGCTTAAGCAAACCGCAGTGTTCCAAACGTCCTCCAGCAGGTCTGTCCTGTACAAAGTCATGATGGATTACACCTGTTGTGCACTGCCAAGTTGCTTCCATGATGCCAGTCTTGTGCTCAGACTGGGTATGTGCCAGCTCATTCAGGGACCTAGTAGGATCTTTTCATAATTGTGTCTAATTTGCAGGTTGCAGTTTCCTCAGCTGGCTCTCAGACGGAGGTTGGGGCAGTTGACCTGTATGTCTAGGTCTGCCCTGAAGCTGCGTTCTTGGCCTCTCACGATCCTTTATTACCTCTTACCATTTGCTGCACTTCGGCCCTTGGTCAGAGTAGGATGGCGACCTACTAGCAGGGTAAGTGTACTGTCTGTCTCTTTTGTGACTGCAAGAGTAACCCATATGTAGCTATAAAACTACTAATTATATTTACAGGCTGTGTAGTGCAGGTTTTTGCAATTTTTTTACAAAAATATATTGCCTTGTCTAGAGGGAATTATTTACAACCCACTCACATTACACAGAATATAACTGGATACTAACATTTATAGGTAAAGTTAATCCAGGGAATATCCGATTGCCTCTTGGGGGATCAGGAAGGAATTTTTTCCCCTGCAGGACCAAATTGGATCGTGCTTTCCTGGGTTTTTTTTTGCCTTCTTCAACTGTGGGTGTTTGATTATAACTTTTTTTTTTTTTTAAATGGTGGAACTGGATGGACTTCTGTCTTTTTTTCAGCCAGACTAACTATGTAACTATGACACATACCTAGTATATGCCAGTATGTTAGAGAAAAACAACAGTACAGTTGCACTTCCTCTTGGATGCAATATTAGTGGCTATAATCAGGAGTTCCATAAGCAATAATGAAATCATCAGTAGTGGTTTCTGAGCAGTCACATCTCTTTGTATGTTGCCAATTTCAGGCTAGCCTTACACAGGCAGATCTCACAAGGAAAATGATGGGCTGTGAAAAGGGCCTGCCTGGCTCTTTCTGGTTATGAAACTTCCAGGACCACACCAACTATCTATGAAGCAATCTCATAAACAGACTATTTCCTTTTCTATGTAGAATCTACAAACGTTGTTACCCAGAAGTGCCAGCATACTTCCATTACTGCATTTGGTAGGAACAACTTTCCAAGGTCATAAGTATTGACTATTGCTGGAGATCTAACTACTACAGAGCTCAGTTACAACCTTTCAGGCTATTTTAACTCCATTTCATAAATACTTTTTTTTTTGTTTCTGAATTAATGTTTTCATCTAAGAGGATATCCCATAGTGTGGTGGCAGGTATTTTTAGAATTTAGATTCTGTGACAACTCTGAATTAAAATAAACTAATTCTGTAGCATCGGACATGACATGATTAGTTGAGTGCTGCAGTTCTATGACATTTCTTGGTCTATTTCTTCATGAATGGGACAGTACACAATGATCTATGCTTTGTGGGAGACAAACTATGCTGGGGACAGCCGACTGGAGGTCAACATTCTTTCAGTATATGTCCTTCATTCATCTGGCTGGACTAACCGTAATCCTCTTGCATATCTCTTATGACAAGTTGTCACTGTGGAAAAGCCTGCCAGATATTAACAATGCTTAGCAGGCCAGTTGATGAATAGCCTTACTGTTGTGAGAAGTAAAAGGGGTAAAATGGTTCTTGTTCAGCTTTGAAAAAAGCACATTTTCATTCTATTTGGCTGTAGTTGAACATTGCAGTCTTCATCTGAAAGGCCTTTTCAATTAATCAAAAGTACACTGATATTTTCGTGTCTTAAAAAAGGCAGTTTGGAACTGGATGCATCTGACAAACAGAACTGTTACAGGACCAATAAATGTAAAAAGTGCCATTAATAGATATGTACAGATTGAATTAATGAGCAATAGGGTCCAGTGTAGACCTCAGCAGGCAGTTTTGTACTTCAAGAACTGGGGAAATCATAGGTGAATTGCCTGTGTTAAGTTATTTTATATAATCTGCTGCATTCAGTTATTTTTACATTTTGTACAAGGGTTAGACAGAAAATGGAAACACTACATGATTTGCAGGGTGAAAGTGACAAGATGTTTAGCGCTGAAAGCGGACGTAATGTAGCATTTTTTTTGCTTCTACTGTGTTGAGACACCTAGCTCAGGGCTTGACAAATTTTGCTTTGAATATAGGAGCCAGCTAAAAAAGTTAGGGCCAGTCTTTTGTTCTTTTTTTAGCGTAGCATGGGTTGTCAGCCCCCGGGACAAGGCAACTTTTGGGTGGCAAGCTTCATGCGATGCGATTTGCCATGCAACAATCATGGCAAAACCACACCACGTTTTAGGCGCCATTGAAAATAATGGCATCTGAGCCTACATTTGCAATCACAGCGATTCTGAGGCGATTCCAAAACGCCCAGGTGTGAATGGAGCAGCCCTGGTTCATACACATGCGATTCTGGATGCATTTTCAAATTCATAAGATTTGCTTGACAGACTAGATTTTATGTGTTCCTATTGAGCTGGTTCACACAGATGCGATCCACATGCATTGTATTTTGAGTGACATTACAAAGAGGGTCCTGTGCCGAATTATAGCAGTGCATTCTAGACTCGCAAGTGATAGAGTAGAGTGGTATGTGGAAATAAGTGTTCACATAGGATTTCTATTTACAGGAGTTTTTGCATTGAAGTCTATGAGAGGAGTTTTTGCATTGAAGTCTATGAGAGGAGTTTTTGCATTGAAGTCTATGAGAGGAGTTTTTGCATTGAAGTCTATGAGAGGAGTTTTTGCATTGAAGTCTATGGGAGGAGTTTTTGAATTGAAGTCTATGGGGAGCAGTTTGTGAACCCAGGCTCCAGGACATAATTTCTAGTTGCCAAGGTGACCTGGCGCCTGGGAATTGCCAAGCCCTGACCTAGCTAACAGGCCTCACTTTCGTCATTCACTGTGTGCATGCTAGTAATACAGAGTCATGTCAGAGCTTACTGAGCTTCAAAAAGGGCAAATTGTTGGTGCCTGCTTTTCTGTTACTGAAATTGCCAATTTATTTACCGTGTCTGGAGGTACAGTGTCAAAGGTTATGACGGCATATACAGTTTCCAGAAAGACGTCTGACAAGCATAAGCACAGTTGACATGGCCATCTGACCAAAAGAGACAAAAGAACATTGCCCAGGATTGTGACATGGAAAAAGAAAAAACAACTGCTGCAAAAGTGACTGAAGAGCTCAATCTCCATCCCGTTTCCAAGCATGCGCGGTCTTGGTCACTCGATTATTTATTTTTTCATTTTTTTCCACAGACAAATACTGTACTAATCAAATGAAAATTATTTGTTCTGTTATCTTACGAGAATATTTTTCGTGCTTGTCCCTTTGCTTCAACTGTCATGATGTATTGGACAAGAAGGGGTGCCCTGGTCTTCCAGTTTTGGGGAATTTCTTTCTAGAAATAACAATGCACTTTGTCGTATGTAAGCATGCCTAGGCACTCCTGTGCTTATATACCCATAGTTCTATATCTACAGTGCAAGATCTAAGGCACTCCTGCCTCTGACTGCTAGAGATTGGGAGTGAGATTCAATGATCCTACTACTGTGCTGCTCACTGCTCTGGGCTGTAGGCTCTGGCATGAGAAAGCAAAAGCCCTGCCTCTCCAAAGTGGCCACCTTCACACCGAGACACAATGCAGAACAAGGTATAATAAGTCAGTAAAGAGGGAAAGATCAGCTGCAGAGATACTGCAGGCAACACTTTTTAATGGTTTTTTTTTTTTTTTTGCCACACGTTCCACAGTTCAGTTCCTCTTAAAAACTCTTTACCAGCTCTAGCACCATAGGTTAAAGGCCAAAGATACCAAAGGTCATTACATTTGTACATGTTTGGGATCTATGTTTTTCGCGATAACCAATGTTCGGAGTATGCAGAAGTGGCACCCTACAGATTTGAGCTTGGCTGCCATTGCCAGCCTTCTGGAAATGCTACTTTCCTGGATGGTCATCTAATTTCAGAGTCACTGACCCAAGTATGTAGCAAGTGACATCAGAATATCTAATCTACATTCTTCTTGTGGGTCATTGACTCAGGCTAAATTCACATATTTGTGTTATAGTAAAGTGTGTTTTACTGGAACTTACGGTAATGTGTGAACCACACTGCGGTGCTGCATTGTTTATTTTAAATGGCTCCCCAAAGCACCACAATGGACTTGTGTGATAGTACACCACAACACAAAGATATGAACCATCTGTGAGTTGCGGTACTCTGGAAACAAAAAAGAGTCGGATACATTGGGAAGCTATTTAAAATGAATGGACTAGCATACTACAAAAGACATAATGCACAAAAACATACATATATGAATGCAGCCTCAAAGTACTGAAGAGGGACCCGCAGGATAGCCAAGCAACTAGCAGTTTTCAAAGGTGAGCAGCAATTGCAGTTCAAGTATTTGTTTTGTGACAGATTTTCTTTAAAGTGAACTCCATGATAAGCAAATATTTTCTATGTAAAAGAGGAATACTGGAATCTTGGAGTGCTTTGTGTACATCTTTTAGATCTGTGAAGTAAGCCAGCATGAAACTTGGCCTATGTGTAGGAGATATTTGTAATCAAGACCAGTCAACATTGCTGTCTGTGCTTGTGCAGGGTGACTGGTCTTGTATCCGCCCCCTCCTCTAGTTTGCTGCCAGTAACCTACAGTTTGTAGGCCTGCTGGACCCCTCCTACAGCTCTGCTCTCTGCACTGCCTATGTGTGGCACAGTGATGATGTAATTGTTATTTTAAATTAATCTGGTATTCACAAAGTGGATTTATATCATATGTGGCTGTGTAGAAATATATTTAAATAATAATTTTTGTACCCGGAGTTCAGTTTTAAGATTATTAAAGAAAAGTTATCTGTTTGTACAAAATATCTTTTTGAGACACTTTTGTCTCAATTGATTTCAGTCTTTATTCCTTGAAAGATTTTTATATATATTTGGATATTTAATTGCAAATGAAAATATAGGTTTGTTATTGAATTGTGCATTAAAATGTGCATTGTTCATATAGTTTCTATGGTCTGTACGCAGTCTATACTAGAGTATATCATCATATTCCTATGTCAGAAATTTGTTTGAAACATGAGGGATGTGGCATGGCACTGCAGAGGTTAATCCATGACCTATGTCTGTAATCTAAAAAGAAACATTTCCTGAGAAGAAACTACATCTCCCACAATCCCTCTCTTTGTGTTGTGCTGGTACAGGTGAAAGCAATTACTGGAGTTCTTACTCGGCTGTCATTCTGCTATTGGCCAGATGGGAACAGGTTAATATACCCCTGATGTCTCCATAAAGAGCACCTGTCACTGGGCAAAGCTATCACAAGGGGCTTGTGATAGCAATAAAGTTAAATGAAGAAAAAAAAGAAATAAAATGTAATTTAAAAAAAATTTAAATGTAAAAGCTCCCTTGCCCCTGCCTGTGCGCACCTGCAAATGCAAACAAGCGCATAGGTCTAGCATGCATTTGTAAACAGTTATTGCACCACACATGTGAGGTATCACTGCAAATGTCAGAGAGAGAGAGCAATCATTCTAGCGCCTTAAGTCATAACCAGTAAAGACTTATAAGGCATCGCCTATGGACAATTTGGGGTACCATAGTTTGCTGTCCTTTTACAGGTGTGCGCAAATGTAAGTTTTGACATATTTTGCATCTACTTAATTGACACAACATTATCTTTTTTTATTTTGGCAAAAAATGGGTATTATACTGTGCTTGTGTGCATTAAAATTCAATTAAGTGTGTTTGTTTTTTTTCCTGAAAATTTGTGTTTGATAACTGGCTGCGCAAATATTGTGCAGCATAAAAAATTGCCACAGCCACCATTTTATTCTACAGTGCCTTTTCTTTTAGAAAATATATAATGTTTAGAGGTTCTAAGTAATTATGTAGAGAAAAAAATGAAAAATGTCAAAATTGTTCCGGATGGCAAGCAGTTAAGGGTGAGTCAGACAAGAATTTGTATTTTGGTTGTTAGCTCCTGCCATTGTGGTGAGATTTCGAATAAGCTAATGGATAATTCCACCACTAGTATATAACAATAGCTAAAATATTGGTCTCGAGTGGATTGTTGCTTTCTTTTCTTTAAAATAAACTGATAACAAATGCAGTAATGGAGCTGGGTCTGCTAATTTGCTTTCAAAGCGCAGCATCCACATGGTTCTCTCATCTTTCCTTTCTTCCTTACTTGTTGAGTCAGATGTATTGGGATGTTTGAAACCTTTACTAGCATTGTAGACAGCAATGCTGTACAGCATTGTCTCATTCACCGTTGCTCCACAGTAGTCCCTTGAAAAGTTCACATTCCACAGATGGGATATGCACCCCCTTTCTTCCACAATCCAGAGCTTGGCTTACCTGTTGGTAGACCTAAGCAATGTCACATGGGGTGGTTTGCATTGTCCTACGCCAGGGGTCTCCAAACTTTCTAAACAAGGGGCCAATTTACTGTTCTTCAAGCTTTAGGTGTCAGTAGGAGGAATAGTGCCCCATTGTTGGTGTCAATGGAAGGAATAGTGCTCATCAATGATGTCAGTGGGAGGAATAGCCCTCTCTTGGTGGTGTAAGTGGCAGGAATTGTGCCCCTTGGTGTCATTAGGAGGAATAGTGCCCCATTGTTGGTGTCAGTGGCAGGAATTGTGCCCCTATTGGTGGTGTCAGTGGAAGGAATCCTGCCCCATTTTTGGTGTCAGTGGGAGAAATAGTGCCCATCCTTGGTATCAGTGGGAGGAATAGTGCCCCATTGTTGGTGTCAGTGGCAAGAATTATGCCCCCATTGTTGGTGTCAGTAGGAGGAATAGTGCTTCAAGGGCCAGATAAAGGCAGGGAAAGGGCCGCATACGGCCCCCCGGGCCAGTTTGGCGACCACTGTCCTAAGCAGATACTGACATGAAAATGTTGATATAGAACTTTGGGGGGCTCCTGCAGCATGATGGGGAGGCAAGCAACACTTTTGGGGTAGGAGCAGACATGGGTAGGTGTCTGTTATTGTTACTTTTGCTGTCAGACAATTATTACAGGTTTACTTTAATTGATAGTACAATTTCTGTACAGTTCAAAGTGGTGTTCTTGTCATTTTAGAAATATAGTAGTTGTACCACTAGCTATTCTTGATTTAAAGCAATACTCCACTAAAAATTGTAATCTGGAGAGAATACACTAAGGCAGCAGTCACTAAATGGAAGACCGCGGTCCGCGAATGACCCCAGCAGCACTGCCGCCCGGACCACCAGTCCGCAATGACAGATCCACCACTGATCAGGGTGGTTGTCATGGCAACATGACATCACGTGTGCGCCCCGATCCTTTCTGCTCACTGTGTCTCTGGCTCCCGCTCCCTGCCTGTACACAAGCGTTCAGCAAGGATCCCGGCACAGCTTCTTTCTGCCCTCATGGTAGGGTGTAGTCTTACAGGGGCACTCTGATAAATGTTAAGGGATGGGAACTCTGATGGGCACAACATAGAATGTGCCCATCAGAGTGCCCTCAACATAACGTGCCCATCAAAGTGCCCCTCAACATAACATGTGCCCATCAGAGTGCCCCTCAACATAACATGTGCCCATCAGAGTGCCCCTCAACATAACATGTGCCCATCAGAGTGCCCCTCAACATAACATGTGCCCATCAGAGTGCCCCTCAACATAACATGTGCCCATCAGAGTGCCCTCCATCAGAGTGCCCCTCAACATATGTGCCCCTCAACATATGTGCCCATCAGAGTGCCCCTCAACATATGTGCCCATCAGAGTGCCCCTCAACATATGTGCCCCTCAACATATGTGCCCATCGGAGTGCCCCTCAACATATGTGCCCATCGGAGTGCCCCTCAACATATGTGCCCATCAGGAGTGACCCTCAACATAACGTGCCCATCGGAGTGACCCTTAACATAACATGTGCCCATCAGAGTGCCCCTTATTTTATGTTAAGGGGCACTCTGATGGGCCAATTTTATCTTAAGGTGGCACAAATTGGCACATATTGTGGAAAGGGGCACTCTGATGGGGAAATAGATAAAGGAGTACTTTGAGTGTAAGGGGGCACTCTGATGGGAATACCTGATGTAAGGTAGCAATGTGATGGGGATACCTGATGTAAAGGGGCACTCTGAAGGGGACAACTGATATGATGGGAATACATGATGTAAAGTTGCACTCTGATGGCGACACGTAATGTAAGGGGGCATGCTGATGGGCACACCCTATTTGGACCTTGGCCAGAAGAAAATTTTAGTGACTGGACCTCCTTGAATTTTAATTCAATACCCCTGCATTATGGGGTCGTTACATATATAAATTGCTGTGTGAAACATTTCACCACAAAAATTTCCACAGCCTAAAATTTTTTTTCCTAATGAAGGTATTTTAGGAAAATATTATGGGATAATGGGTAGAGCTGAAACAGGAAATAAACCTATTAGGCAAATTACGGGGATTGTTTGTGATAGCTGTGAAAATACTTGACATTCGCACAGCAATTTATCTTCTAAATAGACCCCCTTAGACTTTGTATAGGAGAACCTTATATATGAAAACTAATGAAGCAGAATAACATGGATATCCTATAGCAGTCCGTTTGTTTTCTTCTTCCAGCCAGCACAAGAAATTAAACATAGAATACTGGAATGCTTACTTAAAGCATTAGTATTTTCCCTTCATTTTGAATTTTTATTTTTTGCTCAAGGGGTCAGACAAAACGGACATTTTAGTCATAGGTGATTGCCAGGGCCAATCTGGGTTCTTATCTCTGGGTACTTCTAAATGTGATTAATCAAGCTATTTTATATTTACGGTACAAGCCTTTATAGCTGGACACTATCATTAAAAACTGATGAAACCGATATTATCTGAAAACGATGATAAATGAGATTGATAGCTATACAAAAGTTGTATTATAGTACCAAAATAATGCATACACTCCAAACACAATATCCAGCGGCTCAGGAACAGTTGTTTGACATCTGTTTTGAATGCTGGCAGACCTCATAGGCATCTTTTTGTCTGTAGCTCACTATGGTAGACAATATTCATTATCTGGGTGCAGTCCTCCAGTCTGACGTTCACTGAGCTTCTTTGAGCGGTCTATACAGATATTCGCAATTTACTTGGGGATGTCCAGAAATTGCATGAGAAGAGATGAGCACTGAGAGTTTTGCACATTATATGTGGATGCCATCTGGGAAGCTTCCCAAAAGCTATGCACATCCAATAGGAGGAAATGGCCAAGAATCCATTCAGTATAGTAGGACAGTACTTCCAAACTATCCCCAAATACTCTTCCTGGGGGAATCCAAGGCGCACAGTAACATCTGCCAGAAAGAGTTGAAACGTTGGCCAAGCAGTGGGGAATTTGGGCTAATTTGTGCATCCCCTGCAGCTGTTCCTACTGGTTTAGGTGAACTAAAAATGTTGATATGTTTATATATTACCTGTTTAACAGCAACAATTCTGTTTTTCATATGGTCATAAGTAACCAGCTATTTAAAATGTATGTATTGAGTCCTGTTTTTTGTTGGTTGTGTTGATAATTTGAAAACCTCTATCTTTAGATGTTTGAAACTGTGATTGCATGTACCGTTCTCAGCAATGTAATAATCTGTAAAGCATTTGGGTACCTTAACATATACAGCCCACAGTTTATTCATGCCTGACATTAGCAATTCTTTTACCTTTTTTTTTTCTGCATATAGGTTGCCATCTACAAGTCTGTGCCAACAAGACTGCTTTCTCGGGCATGGGGACGCCTGAATCAGGTGGAGCTACCAACATGGCTGCGGAAACCTGTATACAGTCTATATATCTGGACTTTTGGTGTGAACATGAAGGAGGCTGCAGTGGAAGATTTGCACCAGTACCGAAACCTCAGTGAATTCTTCCGAAGGAAGCTGAAACCTCAGGCAAGGCCTGTATGCGACTCCCATAGTGTGGTACGTACAGGATGTCTTGACGTCAATGCACAATTATACCTTTTTACTAATCAGTCAGAACCAGTGTCAACTGTACAGATGCGGAACTCAAGGTTATGTTCTAAAATATACACATTTAGTAGGTATTTATGGCTTTTTTTTTTTTTCTTTGTCAGAAAGTTACTTTTTTAAAATGTATACTAGATTTATTTTGTACAAATGCAATTACCCTATCATAGTGATTACCATGCCTATATAAATATTGAGCATTAAGTAACAGATTACAGTTTTGATTTGCATTGTTGACCACTTGACCTCCAGAAAGTTTTACTCCCATTATGGCCAGGGCATTTTTTTGCTATTCAACACTGTGCTAATTTAACTGCCAATTGCGCGGTCATGCAACACTGTACGCAAATTAAATTTATATTATTTTCACACAAATAAAGCTTTCTTTTGGTGGTATTTGATCACCACTGGGTTTTTTTTATTATATAAACAAAACAAGACCAAAAATTTTGAAGAAACAAAAAAATCAAATGTATTTATAATTTTAGACCAAAATTTATTCAGCTAAATTCAGAGACTTAGTGTGACTGTGAAAGGGTGGTGGGCAATCTGGCATTAACACAAACTGGCCAGGATGGTCAATAACTGACAATGACATCGCTAGTGACACTAACACCGTGATCTGTGATAATACTGTACACTGAAATTGTACTAATGACACTAGCTGGGAAGTGGTTAACATCTAGGGGCAATCAAGGGGTTAACTGTATACCTAATAAGTGTTATGTGTGCTACTTTTACTTACTAATCTGGCTGTTTTTTCACCCTGCTTTTCAGGGATAAAAAACAGCCAGATCGCTGTTCCTATGTGCACATAGTTATTTGTGCTTGTCCAGGGGTTAAAAAAAATTACATCCACAGTTAGGGGAAAAAAAAATTACTTTATACTTCCCCCATACCCATGCGATGGCCAGTGTGTCAAAATTATGCTTGGCAGCAGAGCTACCAGCACCAATTTTTATCCCACACTTCAGGTCTCTGGAAGAGCACCTGTGGCTGCAATGGTTCCTCCTGATGATCCCTACATCACTATTGAGTCCTACATCGACTAGGGATCAGCAGGAGGCACCACAGCGGCCAGTGAGGGGAGCTGCTATTCAACACACAGGAGTCGAATAGGACCAGTGCTGAGAGCTATGCTACAAAGTTTCTATGCATGAGGGTAAAAAACCTCCACTATGCAGCTGTCCCCCTAGACCCCCCCCCCCCCCATTCTTACCTGAGCTTGATCCTGATCCAGCAATGTGCACAAGAGCGGCTGCTGTCCTGGCTCTCTTCCTGGTCGTTGGCCATTGGTTCCTGCTGCTGTCAGGCACAGCCAGTAACAAGGGAGTGGGGTACAGCCCCACTGTCCATGTTCGGGACTGAGCCCGCACAAGTAACCCCCCCCCCCCCAGCAGGCCACTTGCTGGAAGGGGGGGGAGGAGACCCAAAAAGAGGAGGATTGACACTGTTTTGTACAGATCAGGTAAGTATTACATGTACAGTTGTGTTCAAAATAATAGCAGTGTGTTGAAAAAAGTTAATAAAGCTCAAAATCCTTCTAATAGCTTTTATTTCCATACACACAAATGCATTGGGAACACTACACATTCTATTCCAAATCAAAACATGAAGAAAAATATATCAAATTTGTGTTGTTCCTCCAAAAAAATTGAAGAAAAGTGAATATTAGACGGTTCAAAAAAATAGCAGTGTTTGTATTCTTCTTTACAAACTCAAACATTCACTATATAAACTGAAAAATGTTTGAAGATTTTGCTTTCCTTTGAATCACTTAATTAATATTTAGTTGTATAAGCACTGTTTCTGAGAACTGCTGTACATCTGTGTTGCATGGAGTCAACCAACTTCTGGCACCTGTGAACAGGTATTCCAGCCCAGGATGATTGGACTACATTCCACAGTTCTTCTCTATTTCTTGGTTTTGCCTCAGAAACTGCATTTTTGATGTCACCCCACAAGTTTTCTATTGGATTAAGATCCGGGATTGGGCTGGCCACTCCATAACGTCAATCTTGTTGGTCTGGAACCAAGATGTTGCACGTTTACTGGTGTGTTTGGGGTCGTTGTCTTGTTGGAACACCCATTTCAAGGGCATTTCCTCTTCAGCATAAGGCAGCATGACCTCTTCAAGTATTCTGATGTATTCAAACTGATCCATGATCCCTGGTATGCGATAAATAGGCCCAACACCGTAGTATGAGAAACATCCCCATATCATGATGCTTGTGCAACCATGCTTCACTGTCTTCACAGTGTACTGTGGCTTGAATTCAGTGTTTGGGGGTCGTCTGACAAACTGTCTCCGGCCACTAGACCCAAAAAGAACAATCTTACTTTCATCAGTCCACAAAATGTTGCGCCATTTCTCTTTAGGCCAGTCAATGTGCTCTTTGGCAAATTGTAACCTCTTCAGCACATGTCTTTTTTTCAACAGTGGGACTTTGCGGGGGCTTCTTGCAGATAGCTTGGCTTCACATAGGCGTCTTCGAATTGTAGTTTTTGCCATTTTAAAGCATTTGCGATCATTTTAGCTGAGCAGCCCTCCTTTTTTGCACTTCTTTATATGTTTTCCCCTCTCCAATCAACTTTTTAATCAAGTTACGCTGTTCTTCTGAACAATGTCTGGAACGACCCACTTTCCTCAGAATTTCAGAGAGAAATGCACAGTAACCAGCATGTACAACATTTGCTGCCTTCCTTCCTTAACCATTTGCCGCCCGGCCAATGGCCGTTTGGCGGCGGCAAAAGTGCTTCTGCATTCCGGGTTCACGCCCTTTGGCGTGCTCCCGCACATGCTCAGTTCGCGCAACTGCAGAGCGGCACAGCGGCGCGATCTGTCACCGGCCGTGTACCTCGGACACGGCCGATGACAGATCTGAGTACCGGCCCCCGTTGCTGGTACCATGTGACCTGCTGTGACCAATCACAGCAGGTCACATGACAGTTGTATACAATGGATGGCTTCATTCATGCCATCCATTGTATACTAGTGCCTAGCTGTGAATGGTCACAGCAGGTCACATGCACATGTCATGTGATTAGCTGTGACCAAATCACAGCTAAGCACAAAAAAAAAAAAAAAACTGAATGAATCGATGTCATTCAGGTAAATGCTTGCTTATAGCAAAGTAATTCTTTGCTATAAGCAAATTGTGTAAAAAAAAAAAAAAAAAATACTGATCACTTCCCCAAAGTAGTACAATGTTACTATGGTAACATTGTACTACTTTGGTCATAGTAAAATATGAAAAAAAAAATCTTAAAAAAAAAAAAAAAAAAAAAATTAAAAATTAAAAAATTAAAAAAAAAAAATATATATATATATATATATTTTTTAAATACTGTCACCAGTCAGTGTCCCTGTTCACCGCCATGCCAGTTATATGATGACGCTGTACTGCACTGGTGACAGTATGTAAAAAAAAAAAAATAGTGAAAATAATTTTTTTAATTTTTTCATTTTCCGAAAAATTATGACAAAAAAAAATACAACTTCAAAAAACTCGCCATTCCTCTTATGAAATACCTCGGACTGTCTACTCTGCAAAAAGGGGTCATTTGGGGGATATATGTACTATTCTGACATTCTTGGACCTCAAGAAATTAGATTGGCTGTCAGTACTTCAGGATTGATCAATATTCAGATCTATACCATAGTTTGTGAACTCTATAACTTTCCTACAAACTAAAAAATACATCCTAATTTGGGTTATTTTCACCAAAGACATGTAGCAGAATACATCTCGGCCTAAATTTATGAAGAACAATTATTTATTTGTAAACTTTTATAACAGAAACAAAGAAAAACGTGTTTTTTTTTTCAAACTTTTTGGTCTTTTTTTGTTAATTTAGCAAAAAATAAAAACCCCAGCGGTGATTAAATACCACCAAAAGAAAGCTCTAGTTGTGTGAAGAAAATGATAAAATTTTAGTTTGGGTACAATATTGTATGACCGCGCGCAATTGTCATTCAAAGTGTGAGAGCGCTGAAACGTGAAAACTGGCCTGGGCAGGAAGGTGTAAAATTGCACGGTATTGAAACGGTTAAATAAGGGCAATAATTGCCACCTGTTTTTCAAAGAATGAATGACCTCACTAATAGAACTCCACACTGCTATTATTTTGAACATGCCTCTTTTAATTAGTGATTCAATTACACAGAATCAGCAGCATGCATGTCATGACTGTTGGGTCTGTTGGATTTCTATTACTCTACTACATCCTGCTAGTAAATTATTTGCCATGTAGAAAAATCATTTCTACCAAAAACAGTGATTGATCAGGTTAGTGATGTCTGACTGCTATTATTTTGAACACAACTGTATGTATGTTTTTTTTTTTTTTTTTTTTTTAAATTGAGCCTTTATTCTCACTTTAAAGTGTAATAGCAGTAAAAGATTTGCTGCCACCTAGATTATGCTCACCCTCATGCTATTAGAAAATCTGTATAACATATTAAATAAAACAAAATATAAACAAATTTGTGGAAACTTGTTTGCTACACAACGAATGTGTAATTTATTTGTATTGCTACACTTTTGTCACCAGATTAGTCCATCTGATGGAAAGATCCTACACTTTGGCAGAGTGAAAAACTGTGAGGTGGAGCAGGTTAAAGGGGTAACCTACTCCCTGGAATCCTTTCTGGGGCCACAGACATGGACCGATAATCTCTCCGTCACAAAGAGTGAGTTTGTACATAACCTTGGGAAATGGACAATGTTTTCAGTGAAGTGGCTTACACATCAGTTTCTTCATTATTACATAATCACACTTCCCTCTGTCTGAAGACTTCCCTGTCATACTTGTGCTCTAATCTCCTTTTACTAATCCTGGTATAACTTGCAGCTGAATTACAGTTACCATCATTGTAACCTGTCCTTGGTGATATAGTTTGTTGCTTTATTTCGTTAGCTAAAAGTGGGTTTTCCTGCTATATGGATTACTTTACTGGATTATGCTTATTTACATTTCTTTGTTTTACAGGTTCTTTCCAGGATCAGCTTGTGACTCAGGAAGGCAATGAGCTCTATCATTGTGTCATTTACCTGGCTCCTGGCGACTATCACTGCTTTCACTCACCAACAGATTGGAATGTGTACCACAGACGTCATTTCCCAGGTAATGCTTCCATTCCAAAAAAACATTGTGTGCGTCTGTGGACAGTTTTGTTTAAGATGTATCAGTGCTGTAGACTAGGGGTTTTAAATAAATTGTAGATAACGGACATATAGAATAAACTGGATGTATTGTCCCTGCTTCCCTCTTGGAACAGGAAGTACACACACAGGGTCTGTGTGTCTGTACGGGTGCACTGTGTGAAGTACACAGCTCTCAAAGCCTAAAGGCTGGCATACGCAACTCCAGATGTGAATGCATGTGTAGTAGTAGTGATGGGCCGAACACCCCCCTGTTCGGTTTGGTTCACAGTCGAACATTTGAACCTAACGAAAATTCAACCGCGAACTTTGAACGGATGGGACAGTTTACCAAACAGTATCTTAACCACAAGCCTACAGGGCACTTATACCCCCTTCCTGCCCAGGCCAATTTTCAGCTTTCAGTGCTGATTGGACACAGCTGATCACATGACCGAGCCAAAATATTTGGCTCTTTCTGTTGATCGGTGATCCGCTGTGTCCGAGGGACACAGCGCACCATGCTCCCGGAGCCGCACATGCACAGTTAGAATGGGAGGGCATCATATGACATCCTCCCAGCATGAGAGAACCACCTTGCGCCCGTCGTTGCCTTATATGGCGGGCGGGAGGTGGTTAAGGTATTGCACAGCTACAAAAATACCGCATGAATTATATAATTTAGTTGCAGTATTTTAGTAGTGAAAACATTCTTTCATATTTCAGCTGTCGACGGGGTTCCCCACTGACAGCTGAATGTAAAAAGAATTGCCGGCATTGCCTGGCAATAAAAAAACACCCCCCCTTCCATACCAAGCCTTTCAAGTTTCTGGTATGGATTTTGAGGGGAACCCCCACGCCAAAATTGAAAAAAAAAAAAGAAATCCGAGGATGCAGGTCAGGATGTTTCTTCCTGAACCATACCAGGCCACATGCCCTCAACATGGGGGGTGCCCCCAAAGCATCTTTTCCCCATGTTGATGAGGACAAGGGCCTCTTCCCACAACTTAGGCTGGTGGTTGTGGGGGTCTACTGGTGGGGGGGCTTATCGAACTCTGGAAGCCCCCAGATCCCGCGCTCGCCCCCCCATATGAATGCGTATGGGGTACATGGTACCGCTACCCATTCACTAAAAGAAGACAAGTCCTTTATTTAAAACTAAAATTAAAAAAATGTCCCCCGAAGTAGATCCAACGTCAGTCACAATGCCCACTGCCAACCCAAACAGAGTAAAAAAAAAAAAAAAAAAAAGCGGTCCGCTCTCGACACTAGCTCTTGCTGTCTGACAGCTGCGCTGGGATGACCGTTCTTAAATACTGTGATGATGTCACAAGGGGGCGGGATCAACCCACCCCCCTTGGGATATCATCATGTGCTGTGATTGGCCAAAGAATTGCACCTGACCTGTGGTCAAGTGCACTTTCAGGGCGCAGTGCATTGTGGGGCGTGGTGGCCGAACATCCGGCTTAACGCCTTTACTGTTGGTGTGTTCGCCGAACACATGAACGCCCGATGTTGGAGTCAAACTTATGTTCGACTCAAACATCATGCCCATCACTAGTAATTGGACAAAAATTGAGCTGTGGCCCTGTTGGCTCAACAGACTTTGATTGAAAAATTGAAGCCAGACCTGGCAGTACTAGCACTACTGAATAAACCTTCTCTAAATGTCCCAAGCTGAACTACAAAACATATTACCTTTTTATCTTCAATGCCACTAAACAAACTATAGCCTGTTCTTGGAAATCCCCAGTATTAAACTTCTCTAAGGTCATCATCACTCGATTGAATGGAACTATGATTAATGAATAGTTCATACCCGTGAAAACTTTCTCCAGGTCTGTGCCCCATGAATGTTCTACCCCAAACCAGATCAATGGATGTTACATCTTTGAGATGTGTGGTCCGTGGGAGAGGTAAACTTATTTACCTTCTTCCACTCCCCCCACCCCTCCCATCCTCTTCATTTTCCAGTCTCCCCTGACACCCCACTCCTTCCTCATATTTCCTTCTCTCTTTTATATTCTCTCTCTCTACTGTATAGCGCAGATGGACAAATATCCCTACTGGGCTATTGTAGTTTATCAATTTGATGGTGTCACTGCTAGAGTGAAAAATCAAAAGAGCCAGCCAGAAGATTGTCAGTCAGTCAAAGGATGTCAAGCAGGAGGGGGCTGACAGGGCCATCCACTAAGAGGATTTCAAATTTGAACAGTGTATGTCCAGCATTATCATCCAACTGGGATGTGGGTTTTGTCAGGCTGCACAATATTGGCTTAATCGCCTTGATAAGGCAGACTTTGGGCTTTGAAAGATTATATACAACACCATTGTCTTCTCGTAAATACTGGGTTTAGGAAGTCAGAAGTGGATTTGGGAGAAATGTATCCTTAGTTTCATAATGTGCTTTGTCATTGAATTGTGATAATTCACAGCTGGAATTGCACTTTTCTCCATAGTAACTTATGTTACAGGGGTAACTGATAATATCTCCTGCTTTTTTATGTCTTTGAGCAAGTTGTATACTTACCCTAAATAAAATATAGGCAAATGTTGCCCATGCAGGGAAATGTAGAGTATGTACACTTTTCTAAGGTTTCAAACTAATAGTTTAAGAATTCAAATACATTTCCGCTGAGGTCTTGATTATATCCCTGGGTTAAAGTTATTTTCTGTTAGAATAGATATCATTAAAGTGGCCCTGTGCTGATTTTGAAACTAAGCAGATTTGAGAAGTAGCTACCTAGGGGTATTTTCTGATAGCTTCCAGAGTGACTCAGGAACCTGAAACACGGGTGCAATTATGCTATTAGTGTAGTTTCTGAAGTTAATCTCCATCCGATCTCCAACACCCCATTATCAGTCAAGAAAGGTTGCTCATCAGGGTGATAGACCTGTTGTGAAGTACAACAGAGGGCAGACCACAGTTTGACTTTATATTTTGTACTCTGGAAACTACTTGTAATAAAGGTTTGGCTGATAATTATTTTTACATATACATGTATTTCAACTATGCACATTCTTTTCTCATCTTGTTTTTATGCTGGGAAGGTAACCCTTAGATAGAAAACCAGTTATGCATTCTTTCTTGTTCATTGAGGGACACAGGACATCTTTCAGCTTCAGGTTATACTGCTGCCTACAGGAGGACACTGGCAAACAAACTTAAGCCAACCTAGGATAACCCCTCCTTCTACCAGCATCCTTCAGTTTTTGTTCATGTCCTAAGATGAATTTCTTTTCACCTTTGCTGAAACCTAGTTTTGCTAGTACATTTTTACTTATACTATTCAAAGCTGGTCTCTTCGATTAGAGCTATCCAACCCAGCCATCCTCGGCCTGTATTTTTCCAGGAATAGCCTGGAAATGTCTCTGTGGCAATGAGTTCTTCTTAAGGAAATTTCCAAACTCTGGTTAGAACACTTTTTAGATCCAGAGCTGCTATTGTTGCCTCATTGCTTGTCCTGTCTCTGAGACAGTTAATGAATGGGCAAGGCTGAGCACTTGGAGCTACCTCAAAAATTCTGTTTTCTTTCAGTTTCCACCATCATGCTGTGAAACTGAATGCTGATGTCATCCACTGGGTGGAGTGTCACACTCTTTGCTGCCATACAGCATCCTAGAAGCATTTCTCTGCTGCTGTTCTTGCTTGCAAAGAGCCATGGAGAACTTCAACGTGTTCCTGCTTGCTGGTTCCTCTGCCCATTTAGCTGATGCATCTAGTACAAACATGTAAAACTTTATGGCCCAAGTTATCCAGTTATTTACGGACTCTGGCAACAGAGCACCCACAAGGATGTTTCAGTGTCATCCCCCACAGATTCTGTTATCTGTGGTCCTAGAACCTCTGCAGATGATGGCTCAGAAGCTATCTGATTCTGAGTTGCTCGTTTTTGCATTACAAGCTTATTCTGGAGGAGTCGCAGTCTTCTGCTATTACTCCCAAATGAAGAGATGTTTTGCATACCACTTTGAAACTAGAGGATTGACCTGTTGATTCTGCTAATGCTGCTTCCAGTCTTGAATCTTTTAGACCTCCTGAATGTCTTCATTCCAGATCAGAAATTCTACATGTCCACCAGGTTTGTCATCACCTTTCACCAGGGACACTTTTTGGCATGTTCCCACCTTACCTAGGATTTTGTTGTGGGGCTCCTAAACTAATAGATTGTGTTCCTGCCCTTTGGCTTTCTATTTGCACTTGATGATAACCAAGGTGCTGGCCCCATTTTGTTCCCTGCTGTGTTCTTGTGGCATCCCCATTGTGCGATACTTAGATGTTCTCCTGTTGAGGGAAAAGTCTTTGTAGGCCCTGCAGGATGTTACCTTGACTGTCCAAACATAGCAGCTCTGTTGAATCTTGAACGTGCAGAAATTGTTGCTGGAACCAACTCCTTGATTTGGAGTATCTGGGTCTAGTTCTGGACACAGTGCAGGCCAAAGTGTTTTATCCACAGGGGAAATTTCAGACTCTCAGATTTAAGATCTTCAGTCCAGGAGTGATCTGACAGTCACTGTCTGTTTTTGCATGAGAGTCCTAGGCCTGATGGTAGCCTCCTTTCAAGGCAGTTACATTTGCCCAGTTGCAGTCCCAATCTCTACAACTGAACATTATTTCATGAGGCAAATCAGTCCAATCCCTGGTCAAACTGAATTGGTTGTTCCTGGCTTGGTGGCTCTGGAATCAGAAGTTCTTCTTTCCCAGTTCTTTTTAGAAAATCCTGATGATGGAGGCCAGCCAGTTGGGCAGGGGTGGAGCCCTGGGTACTCTGTCGATGAAGGGGAGTCTCAGCTTTCAGTCAGCATTTTAGAACTTTTGGTGATCTGGCTGTATCTGCGGTGCTGAACTATTCTGGAAGGTCTTCTGCTGCGTAGGGAGTATATAAATCATCAGGAAGGAACTAGAAGTCTTCATGCAGTAAGAGAAGTAGACTGAATCATGTCCTGGGCAGAACTTCATGTTGCAGGCTTGTGCACTTTGTACATCCCAGGTGTGGACAATTGGTAGATGGACTTCCTCAGCTAGTAATCTGGACCCAGGGGAATGAATACCTTTACTGTAGTTTTTCCAGGACATTTGGCATATCTGGTGGATGCCAAATTTGGACAAGTTCTTTCTTTCCAGTTATGGGGATCATCTATCAGAATCAGTGGATGCTCAGATGGCTCTTTTGGATCTTTGCACCCAGTTGTGGTACACCAGTCTGGTTAAACTCCATGAGCTCTATCAGATCTTCTGTTTCAAAGATCAGTTTATCCTGCTTCCTGGACGCTGGCTTTAACACCATGGCTGTTGAAGCCCAGGTTCTGAAAGACGGGTATCACTAATTCGGTTATTCATACTCTATTCAGTTAAAATCTAGGAGGTCGGTTACATGCTAAAATGGGAGGGCACCCTGGGATGGACATTGAAACAGGAGGAGTGGGAAGATATCTGGGATAACGTAAGGAAAACATCTTTATGTATACGTTAAAAAGAGAATCAATATAAAATTTTGTTTCATTGGTATCTTACCCCTGAATTGTTACATGCTATTAACCCTATCCTACCCTCTGTTGTCGATGTAATGAATCTATGGGGTCACTACTTTATATAATATTAAATGGTATTGCCCAAAAAATGTGCCCATTTTGGGAAACTACTGATTCCTGTTTGGAGTAGCTTTTTGGTTTTTCTGTTCGTTTGAACCCAGATAATTTCCTTCTAGGGCTTATTTCACCAAATACAGCAAAAAACGACGTTAAATTTATTAAAATAGAACTATATCCAAAACGTTTTTAAAAAATTATTTTGGATAGAGTAAGGGAGGGTTATAACCTTGCTCAGTTTATTTTTTGCCATCTGTGACCCATTGGGGAGATTTACCTTCACTTCCTGTACCATAGCCAAAACAGGAAGTGAGAAAATCTCTGCAAATTAAGGGAATTCCTTGGGGACTCCCAAGTTCCCAGAGCTAGTGTCCTGATTGGAAAGATTCCCTTCTATTACTTTTCTGGGGACAACCCAAAATTTGTGACTTTCTTTTACTTTCACTGATACTGGTATACAAGACAAATATAGAAGGTGAATCTCCCTAATGGGGGCACAGACAGCAATACAAACTGACAGGTGTTCTAATCCCTCTCCACTCTATCCAAAATTTAAAAAAAAAATGTCCTTTAGTTATACTTTAACTATGTCTAAATGGCTGCTAGATGTTTGATAGCTTTAAAATGGAAGCAACAACTGCCACGTTCCGACACAGATCTTTATAAACGCATCCATAATGTTTATAATATGGAGTACTTGACAGCCTATGTACATAACAAGATTTAAGACTCAGATCTGGCATCTCTTGGAACCATGTCTAGAATCTACAGTATATTGTTATGAGGTTGACATTTTTGGAATGCTGATGTCCTCCTGCTGGATGTTTCCTAGATCACAGCTATGTGATTTGTATTATGAGTATGGTACACACTGCCTCATTTTGTCATTGGATGTTTCATCCTACTGTATTTTGCATTGTATCTTTTATTAAACTCTAGCAGTACACATCCAACTGAGCATGTGCAGAGTGACTCCAAACAATGTCTTATCAGGAGATAAGAGGGGGGCACTGGAAGAAAGGGAGGATCAGAAAAGTTAGGATCAAACAGCATTTTAACACAATGCAGAGGATTAACCCCTTAGGTTCCACAGAGTATAACAAGCATGCTTTACTGCAAATACAGACTGATTTTACTGTTGTGGGTTTAGTAACACTTTAAGTATCCTCTTAGTAATGTTTGCTACAAAACAGGCATGCTGGTAGTAGGATGGGTTATCCTGGGCTGGCGAAAGTTTTTGGGTTTTTTTTTTTCCCCCCAGTGTCCAATTCCACTGTAGGCAGGAGTATAACACTAAAGTGAAAGACCTTGTATCATGAAACACACTACCTATCTGGGTACCCTTTTTTTTTTCCTGTTAAGCTATCTTTTATGTTGATATGGCCATTTGAGTGCTTTAACATAAATTGTTGCTCTTTTGCTTTCTTAGGATCACTCATGTCCGTGAATCCAGGAGTTGCTCGTTGGATAAAAGAATTGTTCTGTTATAATGAACGTGTTGTGCTCACAGGGAGCTGGAAACATGGGTTCTTCTCACTCACAGCAGTCGGAGCCACTAATGTTGGCTCTATACGCATATATTTTGACAGGGTAAGTGTTTTATAGGTAATGTATTATTATAAAAGGTTATCTTGAACTGTACAACCTAGCAAAACAAATATAGAGACATTCCAGACACAGGAAGTAGAAAGCTAGCAAAGTCAGGTGCTCTACACAAGTTCTTTCTCTCTAGCCAATGCCCATGCCCGTAGAAGGGCTCCCAGATAGAGTATCCAGTCTAACGTATCTTTCTTTAAAAAAAATTGGCATGCATGATTTTTTTTTTTTTAAACATATCAAGTTACATAGCTAAAGTACAGTTTCAGAAACAAGTCTTGTTGGTTTAATACTGTGCTTACCTGCTAGGTACATATTAAAAAAAAAAAATTACACACTTTTATATATATATATACACACACACACACACACACACACAAATGTTATTCCATTATCAGCAATATTGTTTGTGGCCACCTTTTAAAAGAGGCCTTTGAAGGGGAAAAAAAATAAAAATCTAGTAGTACATACTCTATGTTGCTTTGACTTTTTTTGAATGGATTATGTTGCATGCTAAACTTGATTTGAGAACAAAATTTGGCAAGATGACCTTATCGTTGATTAAAAACTCGATTTTAATTAAGGCTTTCAATGTTTGCACACCATGAACAATTTCATAGTAATTATTAGAGAATATACATTTGTGTGGTCTGTGTGTTAATCAGCCTTTTTTTTTCTTTCCCACTCCAGGATCTACAGACTAACAGCCCCCGCTACAGCAAAGGTTCACATAATGACATGAGCTATATAACGAACAATAATCAGGATGGAATTGTGATGCGGAAAGGAGATCAGCTAGGAGAATTTAATCTTGGTTCCACCATAGTATTAATATTTGAGGCACCAAAGAATTTCACCTTTAACTTGAAAGCTGGACAGAAAATCCACTTTGGAGAGGCTGTGGGCTCGCTCTAATATGATTGGTATTCTTAAATGTGAAACAGAGAATGCCCTAGAAGCTGTTCATACGTGCTTGGCGGTTGGGAGACGCAGAGTTACATCTCTATGCAAGTCAAGACATGTGCACGGGCAGCACCAAAGGAAGTCATTGCAAATCCAGATCATCCGCTATACCTACTGCCCCTTCACACCAGCTCCCCTCTTAGTCTCACTCTGCACTTCTCTTTCCACTCTCTCAATTAGGTGTGGCTGGATGCCTTGGCACTGGAGGAAAGAATTCCAGACTCTGAGGGATATGTATCTACGTATGTTTTAATACCTTCTGGGCGAAACTTCTATTTTGTTGCCAGCAATTTTATAATGGGACGTCGACTGGAGGGAAACTGCCAACCTCAGGGAAGGGCTACCCCCTACGGCAGCTTTAGCGCACTGGTCAGATGTAGTAACAAGCAGCAACATGAATAAGAACACCACTGTTCTGGTTGGGTGTCTGCAAAAGGGAAGTGGTGCATAAGCAGGAAGTGAATCTCTGCTCAGTGGAGCTGTAGCTCACTAATTTTATACTTCTAAAATGAGATGATCTTGCTAACATATTAAATTCATTTATTAGCATACATTTTGAAATAAAACAAATGCAAACACCATATTTTTACAAAAAAGTGTTGTTATTTACAACCTAGGCAAAGAAAAGGCATCCAGCGATGCAGTAATCTCCTCAATACGGGCAATATAATTGTGCACTTTAGTCTTCTCCACATTTAGTTTCTGTACACGCTCCTCTATTTGTTGTTCCAGCTGGAAACAGGAAAAGGATAATGTTGTATTAACATTGCTGAAAAGCACCACTATCCACAACCCAAGAGACATTCACTGAATGGGACATCTCTGCTACTCAAATCTCTCTGGGATTATATGTTCGCATGAGTGGTTGCTACCAAAATTAACAGAAGAGCACACTTTCCAAAATTCTTCAGTGTTGGGGAACAGCAGTATTCTCACTGGATGTTGATTGTCTTGCGGGATAGCAAATGGGCCAGGCAAGTCTGTCTGTCTCCAGGTTAAACTGCACTATAGATATTGACAAGTATACAATGGCACTTACCTCCCACTATGACTAGGAGTGGGCCCTTCCATATGTAGGCAGGTGTACATACCTCATTAATGGCTGGTAAACACTGACCAAAAGCAGAACTATACTCACCTTAGATCCAGCATCCTGGAGCTCCCCGCTTCCAGGTTTCCATCACTGGCCATTTTCATTGGCCAGGCAGGGATGATGTCACTCCTGCGCACATGTGGGAGTTCAGTCAAATTCAGCTTTGCCGATTTGTACAGTAATCTGCACATGTGTGGCTCACTGTAGAGGGGTGGACAGGTAGGTAGATAACTTTTAAAGATAATGTCCACTTCACCGTAATATGGTTCACAACCTTTTTCCTTACTGACCTGTGGCTTTAGCTTGTGATAATCCTTGCACCAAGACACTGGTTTTATTGTTACCTACTCGTGAATGAAAGATGTTACCTCATCATCATGATTTAAATGGAAAAAAAAAAATGTTGTAATCAGCACGTAAGAATATCTATTACTACTCCTAATGAACACATGACTTCAGACCATCTGCTTTCCTGGAGTCATGTTCCATAATGGTAAACACTTATTCTGATAAATGTTATCATACAGGACAGAGGGATTGATTCATACCATGTGTTATATGCCACTACCTTTAGGTGACTGGGGCAGGCTTGGAAAAGCTTTTGCCAGCCTGTCCAAAGTGGTTCCATACAATCCAAACAGCATTCTTAGGAAATGCATGCCTTCTCCTCTCGGAGAAAAATTTCTCACTATTATTCACTAGATTTATTTTATCTCCTTTGACTGACACTTCTATTGAGAACGGACTACTTAATGGCTCACTAGAAGGTTCCAGCTTGGTTAGCCTCAAGTACACCTAAGAAACCATACCTGGACTCTATGGAAGCAGGATCAACCAGTAATGTTTGCTTCAGGCACTGGATTCCTACATGCAGGGCTCACCTAGGCCACAGGGTGCTGTACAGGTCCATGGGCCCTTTGGCTTTATCCCCAACATGTTGGACAAAGCCTGAACCCTGAATGGGACCAACAACACGGAAAAAGGTTTTCCTGTACCCCGACTGGCTGAGGTGGAGAGAGGCAGGCAAATGATATCATGATCTCCACCTCAACCAGTCAGAGGAAGCCTTGTATTCATTGATTAGATGCAATGCTTCCTATAAATGGCTGAACAGCATGCAGCCCATCTCGATTTTGTGCCAGGAGCAGGATGGGAAGTCCTCATCCCACTGGCAGGACACAGTGCTGTATACAAGTAGCTGATTCTACATACAGTTTATACCTCAATCCCAGCGAGCACATGTATTAGTGAAGCAAAATAGTTCTACTAGCTCAGTCCATTCAAACTATTTAAAGTCACAAAACACCTGGACTTAAGCTTTAACATCCATGTGACTGGCCTTGTTCATGAGAAGTGCCTTTTGCTCATGCCCTTTGATGGCAGGTTTCTTTTGGCAACTTCCTCAATGAATACATTGAGGCAGCTACACTGAATGAAGGGGTCCCTATCCCATTAGGTTTCTGTGCTCAAAAACAAAACCGAGAACTATAAAGGTTGTTATTATTGACCTCCTTCAGAAAAGGTTTCTTTCCTCAATGCTTTGAGCAACTGACTTGCACTAAGCATGCAGCTAGTGAAGCAGCCAGGTTCTGTTATATCTGAAATTGAAGCTCTAGGCAATCAAACAGGCAACGAGAAATTTCAGCAACATACACATTTTCTAAGTGAAATTTCCTTTTAACCAGATGATGGGCAAAATCTTCAAACCATAAACTAGTACCTGCTGTAGTTCATTCTGAACTTCCTTAGCAATTTCTTGTTCTGCAGAATCTTCCCCAGGGGCACCAGATTCCAACCATCTACTTAACACATGGGCATGCCTCCGCCAGGCTCTGAAAAAGGAATAGGAGATTTTACTAGCACCTAATTCCTACAGATTAACAGTTCTCGTATATGCTGTGTATATTTACTTCAATTCCTCTTTCTGTTCCTGGCATCTCTGCATATTGTAGTAAATATCAGCAAGTTCCTGTTGAAGGGCAGCAATCTGTATTTCCTCTGCTTTTAGAAAAAGGTTTGACTCTTCTTCTTGAACAGTGGTCTCCTTTACTGAAAAAAATGAAAATGAGGAAGATAGCAGATTTAGAAAAGATACAGTATACAGCACTTTCAACACTTTTTCTAGAATCAAGGTGTATGCTGCAGTGTTGTTTATACAATTTTGTTTTGCTGCTGCTTCCCCCCCCCATGTTAACATTTGTCAACTATCCTGTTTCCCCTAAAATAAGACCTACCCCAAAAATAAGACCTAGTGCTATTTTTGGAAATGGGTAAAGTATAAGCCCTACCCTGAAAATAAGACCTAGTTGTGATCAGGGCTTTTTTTTTTTTTTTTCAACCGGAACGCCATTCCACCACTGGCCCTGCACACACCCATATCTACGGTCTCTTATAAACACAGAAGAGTGGCTGAAGTGACAGCACCATCCGTTCCCACAGAACCTCCCTACCCCTGTACTCACTGTGGGACAGGGAAAGAACAGATATCTGCGGGTGCAGTGTGTTTAGAGGTGGGGCATCTCCTCCTGCAGCCAAATGCATGGAAGCTGGTGATCGCTGGCCAGTGGGGAAGAGACAGAGCGGTGAGTAAGTGCGCTTGGTGCACTATGTGGGAAGATAGGACCCGAAACGGGAGTTACTATAGAGAGGGGCCGGCTGCTGACAGCTTTGTTTTGAAAAGCTAGCTAACCATATGATGGTAGTTGAGGGGGAGGGGGTGTGCAAAGGTGAGCTGCAGTCAGGTGTTGCAGAGGTAAATTGAGTTTGGTGAGTTGCAGACAGTGTGCATAGGTGAGCTGCGGCTGGGGGGGTGTAGAGGTGAGCTAAGTTGCACCCCCCAGCCACAGCTCAGCATTCCCCATCTGCAACTCACCTCTGCACCCTGTCTGTAAAAATCACCTGTCAAGTCTCCCCTGCAACACCTGACTGCAGCTCACAGCTGTCATCAGCCGGCCCTCTCCATAGTAACCCTCATCCATAACTGCCTGCAGCTCACCTCTGCACCCCCTGTCCACACCTGTACATTTAAAAAATAAGACCTACTCCAAAAATTAGAGCTACTGTGTTTTTTTGAGCAAAAAAAAAAAAAAAAAAAAATAAGACAGCGTCTTATTTTTGGGGAAACGTGGTATTAACAAAAAATAGGTCAAATGCACCTGTCAATGAATTCTGAATGATTTCAGAAGCACCCCAGACTGAAGTCATTGACACAAGCCCAAAGCGTGTCAACATAGGTCTTTCCAGTGTCATGACATCTACAAGTTGGTGGAGTACTGTCTAACGTATTCTCATTTGGGAACAGATACTGTATATTAGAATATATATGTACTCCCTCATAAGCAAAGCTAAAGGAAAAACAATACTTATATATTGGTAAAATAGAGACTGGGTTGTATTGAGTACATAAATACCAAACATATCATAACACAAAATTGCGCGTCTGTGAAATGGTATAAAACTAAACTACAGTACCAAAAATTTTCCATAGGTGACATTTTTAAAAGCCTTTACAGGTTATCAGTTTGGAGATAAACCGTTGACCATGTTCCTAGAACTACAGCTTTCACTCGGACGTTCTCGGCCATACCTCACATGTGGCGAAATCGCTGTTTACATACATAGGCCCCTACATGTGCACTAGCCATGCTTATCTTACCCGTCTACACCCGATGGTGAATGACAGCTCCGAACCAGGAAGTGAAATGTTTGTCACTTCTAGGCTCATTCACTGCAGTGGAGACTGGGAAACACATGGCATAAAATTATGATATGCAATGTTACAGGTTATCAGTTTAGAGTTAACCATGAATTATGGTTCTAGAATTATTGCTTCAACTCAGATGTTTGCGGTGATCACTTTTACATGACAGCCAATCACTGGCTAACCAACAAAAATCCAGACACAGTCACAGTACCAACTCCTTGAATAATTGGAATTTATAAATGTACCTTGGTAGACAAGGGGTTAATCCATTAGAAATGCATAAATATTCCATGGCCATTGCACAAAGACACACATTATGAATATACATGTTTTTGCTTTTCTTACAGGTGATAGAAGTACATTTAACACCTGCATTACACTGGTGACTGTTCAGCCCCGCTTTCAGGAGGCACATTATTGTGCCTACAGCCATTTGATATGAACCGGTGTACTAAAATATTTGGTTCAATCCATTCTTTGGATTACATACTGAGCACCACTTTCTGATAGGTGTAGCAAGAATGCATTTGCATGGATAGTGTAAGATGTGCTAAAAGAAGTGTAAGTTTGATGTTTATTCACCTGTATTGGTAACATGTGGTGTTATCCCTTTGCCCAGAAGGAAATCAGTTGGTGATAGAAGCTGGCCAGAGTAGTCTGAAACAGGCTTTAAGTGGGGCTGCTTCCCAATCTCTGGCTTCTCTGCCAGTTTTGGTATGGCTGTGCTCTGTAGGGAGTGAAAAAAGAAAAATAAAATGTAAGGCACAGACAAACATCTTCCAGTAAATGAAAGAAACTATGATGCACAAGTATTAGACAATCTGATTTTGCGTCTTTTCTATACAGAAAAGGAAGGTTTTTTTTCTTGTCCAAAACTGAGATAAAACTAGAGTGAGGTCCCAAAAGGTGAACAATTCAATTTCGGGTGAAAAAACACCTCCTAAAATCGGCAGTGAATCGCTTTTATGGCTCCATGCCCTACGCCCGATGACATCGAGTCCAATTTTGCTCCATGGCATACAGGTGTGGGATTCAGTACGCTACTCCAGTGGCCTGATGTCACCCTTTCTACATTTGCTCCCAATTATCAATAATCCTCTTTTCCTGCTGGGCTTAGATCAACTGGGGTCATTCTCTTGGTGGGTGGCCAATGGTTTTTCGCAGGTGCAACACTTTTTGACTTCTCGGTCCTTCTCCATCTAGAACTCTCTTTGGGAATCAGGGGATGTCCCTCAGGCGGAATTTTTTTTGTATCCTTCAACTGCGGCACTGGCTGACCCCTCTGCGTGGCACTTCCGCCTTTCCATATCAGAAATCTGCCTTTGAACAGCTTTACAAACAGCCTATGGGTGCCCCGGGTCTTGTTTCCCTACTCTATGCATCCTTGAATAGGCGCTCAACATGTATTACTCTATTATATGTCGCTCAGTGGGAGCGCAATTTGGCGGCGGTCATGGATCTGGAGGACTGGAATAAGGCCTGGTTGTTTATAGCTAAATGTTCATTTAATACAGCCACGCTGGAGGCGGCATATAAAGCACTGTTTCGTTGGTATTGGGTCCCGGCTTGTATAGCCCAGGCAAACCCTGCCTATAGTGATCGCTGCTTTCAGGGTTGTGGCCATTGTGGAGATGTGTTGCATATATGGTGGTCTTCCCAAGACTGATTCGTTTTTGATCTTGTGTATTTGGCCTTCTTTACACCTTGTTCCATCTCTCTATATGCCGGGAAGCTCAGTATGCTTTGCTTCGTTGTTCCATACCATGCCTGTTGGCTTCCTATTTGTTCTTGTCGGCAACTAGAACAATTGCTCAGGCCTGGAAAAGTACATCTGTCCCTCTTCAGGGAGTGTAGGACCGTATGACCACTCTGATGCTCAATGAACAGATGTCGAGTATCCGTAATGACTCCCAACGGAAATTTTTAAAAATATGGGAGCCGTGGTTGACATATGCTTTTTCCACACTCCCCCCGACTAGTCTGGGTGTATGATGCTGTTCGGTGTTGGTGTTCCCGGACCCCTGCTTCTGGTCTTGTCTACTTCTTCCTTCTTCCTTCTCTACTCTTTTGTCCTCTTTATTTTTGTTTGATTTCTGTGAGGCAATAGATATCTGTCTATGGTTTTGAGTTTCTGTTGGTTATATCACTGTTTTTGTATTTTATGTGCCATTGATAGCCCCTGCGTGGGCGTGCCTTCTGCAATGTTGGTGTTATAACATTGTTCTCTATTTTTAATGTTTCATTGAGAGCCCCTGTGTGGGTGTGTTTTTTTGCTCAAGTCCTTCTTTGCTAAAACGTTTAAAAAGTTAATAAAAACCATTGAAATAAAAAATTGGCAGTGAATATTACAGCCAATGGCACTTTAGAATATTTACCTGTGTTTGGACCCGGGGCTTGAACGAAGAAGGAGGCATCAGTCCTGGCATTGCCATCGGCACCTGCAGCAGCGAGCAGGTCTGAGGTGCAGTTGATAAACGACCACCAGAAAGCCATGGAGGTGCTCGAGGACAATCAGTGGGAGGAATAATTACACATTCAGTTTCCGGTGCTTCATGAGCAGAACTTGTTGACTTCAGTTCTAGCTGAATTTCATCATCTGAATCTAAAGCTCGATTTGATGAATAATTCTTTGAATTGTCCTTGGCACTGGGATCACTGCATGAAACAGTTTTTATTTAACTCATTTAGTTGTGAATTTCACACATAATTTTTTTTTAAATTAAGACCATAACTCACATTTGAGAACTGAGGTCTAGGTTTTTGGAATCTATGAACATGGCAGCGAGAACCCCTTCTTTTTCCAAAGAGTGCAACAAGAAGTCTGGAGTGCGAGGCTTTAGGCGCTCTGACCTCACCATGCTTCTGTAAAAAGGAAAGATGGAAGTGGAATGAGTGAGGTTATTGGCTGAATTATCAAATCTTGCTACTTCTATGAAACCAAAAAAAAAAAAGCACACTGGAGGAGTCTAGGGCTTCCCTAGCTTTCAACGCTTTGTCTATGCCTGGCCTGACATCTCTCAAGCAAAGCTAACATTTTCATAATTACAAATTTGTGTAGAGAATTCTGGTTACACTATAAAGGATTGTTAGTGATTTTTAATTTCTTACATTGTGCTCAGGGTGGGTTGCCCACTAGATAAGAAAGTAGCATTGCCTCTGCCTGTAGGATATGGGAAGGAAATCTTTGAAGGAGGGGAGCAGACCTCCGTTCCACATACATCACGAAATGGCAGCTGGAAAGTCACTTTCTTTTTCTGAACAGAATTCTGCAGTCGCTTCCTAAACACTTTCTCCTTCCAGATCATGGCACAGCGACGAACTGCCCGATTCTGTGTATATACCTCCTAAAAGTAAAAAAAAAAAAAAAAAATGCAGATATTATTCTGAAACAGACTGTATCTACTGTGTCACTGATGAACATGAGGTCCATAGGCTACTTAAATGGAGCACAGCAGTGTTGTGATAAGGTCAATGATGCTGAGTAGAAGAAAGTTATACATGTCCCACATTTGTGATCTTTTTAACAGGCATCACTTAGGGCTCGTTCACAAACGCCCCTATAGCATTTGGCAAACGTTGGTCCGGCGTTTGCGGAGTGTGTAACGCTCGGCAAACGCTCAGCAAACGCTGCATGCGTGGTTTAGCGGCTGTTGCTAAGCGTTTGCCGAGCATTAAAAATGCCCCATAAACGCCTATAGTTTGAATGTGGTGTTACCGCTCCGCAACCGTGTCGCAAACGCTGGCCGGGCGTTTGCGGAGCGGCACCATAGACTATAATAGGAGGCTTCAACGCCTCCTGACTCGACCAGAGGCGTCTGTTTTGCCGCGATGCGACACTAACGCTCCCGTTAGAACAGCACCATGTGCTGCAATGTGCAGAATTGTCAGAGGCGTTTGGGAAGCGGTAAAAACGCTTCCCAAACGCCTCTCTGCCGCCTGCACACAACGCTAGTGTGAACGTAGCCTTAGATTACCCCTGCTATTAGCATAATAAAATACCTGAAAAATGCATATACTGAACATATAAAAAAAAATTATTTGCAAAAAAGTTAATTAGTTTGGGGTTAAGGCAAGTACAATCCAAATTCTTAAAGAAGACATTACTCAGTATGAAGTAGGTGAACATACTTTCAATTGTTTTTGAGTGCTTATCTCAGCTCTGAACTGCTTCATTCCAGACATGAAACGCAAAATCCTTGTGATTCCTTCCCTCATAAGGTCAGTTCGGTACACTTCCACAGCCTCAGCAAATCGCTGCTTCTTTCTTCGGCGTTCAAGAGCATAGGCCAGCCAACAATCAAACACCTAAACATAAATTGTGATTATTAAACTATACATTGGGTCAACATTATGTTTATTACTGCATTTGCATACAGATTACCTTTCCTTGCAGATTAAGAGACCAATGCCACAAAGCTTGTATTGTCTGCTTGTCCTGCCATCTTTTTTCCACCAGCTACAACACAAGAATACCAATTACATCTATCTGCTGTACAGAACAATTATACTAATAATGTTTAACAGAGATGCACCTTACCATCTGCTGCCATTTTCTCAGACAGGATTTACTTAGGCGGAGTCTGAAGAAGTTGTTTTTCTGCCTCTGCAAAAGCTGTGGTGGAGAGAAAATGCAGTTTTTATTTAGCTGCAATAAATTATCGACACCACAACAGTGCTTATCCATGGCAAATATGCAACTCTATTTTTTTTTTTTTTTTTTTTTTTTTTTTTTTTTTTAACCCCAGCAACAACCTCGGGTGTTTGACTGGAAGGAACACTTTTCCTTTCTTCTGATCCTGGTGTTCTTATACACCAGTCTGTGTTATGGTATGCCCTCTGCCTTCCTTTTTTTGCGGTACAAGTTTTAATCCTAACCTAATGTTTAAGAGGATTCAGGTTTAGCACATTTCAATTTCTACTAGCCTTTTAGGGAATTCCCTTCTAACCAGAGTAGCCATCTCATTGAAAGCTTGGTTGTGTGATCAGACAGCCTCTTTCCTTACCATGGTCATTATTTAGCAGGAGGAAATGAACTGTACCATGACAGTGCTTATTTGGAAAAATATAAAAAAAAAACATGTATTTTACCTCTTACAAACACGTCTAACCTATGCAGATTAGTATGCATATCAGTATTACAGATAGCAGTGAAATGCATTCCTATATTATATAAAGCAATCAAACAGGTAATATTTTGCTAAGGTTTAGGATGGCCATACAGAAAACATAAGGTTTAGGGGTGGCCACACATGGGACAAAAGGTTTAGGAATGTTCATGAATGAGATGATTGGCTTTTAACACTTGGGAAAATAGGCGTTACTGCAGAAACAATAACAAGCGAATGCTAGAAGTACTTCTTGGAAAGTCTGATTTTTCATAAATTTATGGAGACACATATCACAGCCATATGTCAGAGGACTTGCACTGACAGTGATCTGCAGAATTTTCAACAAAGCAGAGAAAAACATTTTTTAAACATAATTTAAAAATGATAAAAATAGCATATTATGCAGTCATATGGACATTGTACACATCGAATGTTCATATTTTGTATGTTTATTGTCGTCTTTTATTTTTTGTGAAAACTCTAATAAAAACATATTGAAACAAAAAAATAATAAAAAATAGCAATTGCACCTTTATCTGTCATTAATGTATTTTTGCTTAGCCTCTTAACCAGGAGAAAAATCTAGCAAAGTGCTGGAAGTATTTCCTGTAGCTTGTTCGTCACCTGACAGTATATATAATAATACCATTCCACTAACCATTTTTCTCCAGTATGCAGAATGATAGAATTTCCACTGTTTTAGGCATTGTCTCAACAAACATCTAGCATAGTGTTTGGTTGCCATCTCCATCTTAACTCGCATGTCTTTAGTAGTTTTGCTGTGGTCTCTCCAGTACAAGAACATGTGTTGAAGCTTTCCTTAAAAACAAAACAAAACACGTAATGCCTACGTAGAGCACATTCCCGTTCATTTTCTCCTCAAATTCGTTCTCACCGTTTTGTAGACATGCAGCTGCTTCTCTCACTTGTTCTGCTGTCTGCTCCCTACTATATGCCTGAACACATGTTGCATCTCTCCATGCCCACACAACCTGCAAATCAGCTAGGTTACTAGGAGTGCATTAATTAAAAGGCAAAGATCAGGTAAATGTGATACTGTACCTTCCGTAGTGTTGTTGTTCTGTAATGATTTACAGCAAGGAATGTCTGTTTTCTCTCCTCAGTTTGAGCCATTGTGTTACTTCGCCAAGTGTGCAGTGCCCCCCTGGAAATCACAACCACATGCAATGAACCGTCACCATCACCAAATTGAATGTACAAACATGCAACAAGCTTACGACATATATTTGCTCAGATTAAATGTTCAAGTGTATATTTACAATTTTGGTCTTTTTTTTTTTATTTGTTTCATATGTAAACAGAAAAACAGAAAAGTTACTAAACATACTAAAGAGAAACCATATGAAGGAAAGCCCCATACTCTCCCTCAATCCATCCAGTTATATGTTAAAAGGATAAGAACAACAATAGATCTAGTTGGCCAACATGCACCTTACAGTGAAGAATAAAAAACATTAACATACAAGAAGAACTCACCCGAGGATTACATCTTTGTACAGCTTCTCTTTAATTATCACTGACTGCAATATGTCCTTTGCATTTCTTTGATAAAGCTGCAAAGAAATATAACAAAGCACATATAACAAATTCCAGATCAGCATACAAAATTATAGTCTATGGATCATCACAATGCCACAGCAATAACTACTGATGTCTTTCCAAAGGTACTTTCTGCATGGCGTGTGTACATCCTTCTCATATCTGTATAGGTTTCCTTGAGTCCGAATCAAGGCTGGATGACAAAAATGGCAAAATCTGGGAACTGTATAGCCTGTGTGTTCCAAAATATGGCCGACGTGCATTCCAAGCCTCGCTTTTGCTGGGCCGGACGTGACGTCACAGAAACCAAAGTGTGATTCCGTCACTTCTGGGTTTCTGTGACGTCACGTCCGGCCCAGCGAAAGCGAGGCTTGGAATGCACGTTGGCCATTTTATGGAACACACAGGATATACAGACTGGTTCTGGTCAGTGGGGCACCTTGACATGTGAGTGCAATACTGTATGATTTTCATTGTGATAAATCCAACAAAAACGCTATACTTAGTCCGCCTAAATCTTATTTGAGCCACTTGGAGCATCTCTTCATTGGTAAGTAGAGTCTGATATCGGTAGTCCATACATTGCTCGTTTATTTGGAATCTTGTGGATATTCATCTGGGGCTATTATCTGTGACGTGCTGATGACCAGGAGGAATACACCAGGAGAGCCAGATGTGGACCTTCTATGCATATCATAATAATGCGTTTTGTGACCACCCTAACCGGGGTCAAACACAGTGAGTGAGAAATTCACTTATTTCATCTGCACGAGGTGAAAGCACACAAAGTTTTGGTCCACAGCAACATATCTTGAAGGGACTGACACCATAAATATTTTGATAATTATGTGAGTTTTCCACGTTCACTAATGTTAAATGTGCTCTATTGTACAGATTTAATTGGGAGTATTTACTAGCAAACTTTGTATTATTTGCAATAAGATACAGAGAGATGTTTTGTTGAATGTTATATGGTTGTACAGCACCTATCTATTCACAATTGTTCATGGTTAATTGTATGGTCACTATTTAGGGGCAATTGTTAATTTATAATATTTTATTATTTATGTAACCATGAATAGTTCATTTGGACGAAGCTGGTTAATTTTTTAAGAGTCAAAATGCACTCACAAAAGGTCATACTGTAAAGGCAAATAGGCATAGGTCATATGGTAACAGGAACCGACAGAAAATGTCCACACCCCCCGCCCTTGGCCTCCGGAATGGGGATTAATCCAGATCCAGACACCTCTGATAGCTGGAGCCACTGCACTAAGGGACCGCTGTAACCGCTATTGCCAATACCCAGAAGTGGAGCTGTGAGACAGGAACCTTCTCTGCCAAAAGTCAATGCCTCTTCCTTAGCCTGACTGGGCTACACACAACAAATATATCCTCAAACATACATGCGGCGTAAAAGAGGCAAGAAAACACCATGGGCACAAACAAAAGTGCGCTATAAAAAAAAAAAAAAAAAAAAAAAAAAAAAAAAGAAGGAGGTAACCCACACAGCATCCATACATACTTTCCAAGCATTTAGAATCCTTTTTAGAAGCCAGTGCTGATAGTGGTCCTGGGCACGTAGTAGCCTCTGTTGCTTTTGAAGTCTGTAAGACACAAACTGCAGACAAATACATTTTCATTCACTTTATTGATCAAGCACACGTCAAGAAAAAAACAAAATATTACATTCAGAATCATTTTTTACATACAAGGGACACAACACAGAAAACTGCCATTATTTGCATCTTCCTTGGTTTCCACAATAAATACAGCAAAAGGGTGAATGACTAATTATAAAATGTACAGTGCTTTGCCATGAGTGGTCACAGCCGATGGGTTTAGTTCTGCTTTAAAGCTAATTCCAGCTTTACCTTTAGTCTTGCAAAATTGTGCATGCGCCTCCCCCTTCCATTAATTGAATTTCATGTTTTTCAATAATGGAGGATCAGCATCTTATGTGAGCATTACCTAGGGCAGTATGTATGCAAACACAATCTGCCTATAAATACACTCTCCTCTAAACCCATCAAGGCATTTGGTATTTTCATAATTCAACTCATGTGCCAACCCACTGTTTGCATCAGAACTGAGGGCTCTTAAGATTGCCCTGTATTTGGCTCCATCCATCTTTTCATCAACTCTGACCAGGTTCCCTGTCCCTGCTGAAGAAAAGCATCCCCATAACATGATGCTGTCTCCACCATGTTTCACGGTGGGGATGGTGTGTTCAGGGTGATGTGCAGTGTTCGTTTTCTGCCACACATAGTGGTTTGCTTTTAGACCAACAAGTTCAATTTTGGTCTCAGCTGACCAGAGCACCTTCTTCCACAGGTTTGCTGTGTCCCCCACTTGGCTTCTCACAAACTGCAAACAGGACTTTTAACGGTTTTCTTTCAACAATGGCTTTCTTCTTGCCACTCTTCCATAAAGGCCAGATTTGTGGAGATTTGTGGAGTGCACAAACTAATAGTTGTCCTGTGAACAGATTCTCCCACCTGATTTTATCCCCCCCACACACACACACATAACCTCCCCTTTTAGAGTTAATTCCCCTTCTCCGTCTTACTTCAAAAATGGAAAAGTTACATGCAGGATATGTTTCTTTAATCTACTGAGAATATTTAATCAATTGTATTTATAAGCTGATGAAGCTGTCCCCTAATGAGACCTAACAACAGACTCATAGATTGTTCATGTAGTGCATTGCTTTTTTTTTTTTTTTATAAAATACGATTTGACTAAACATACAAAGCAGAAAGTTAGAACACCCAGCAGAAGCATTAGTAGTGTTAAAACAATATATAGCATAGATTTTTTTTGTAAAGTCATGGACATATTAAAAACTGGATAAGAAAAATTATTACTGGCAGCCAGCTAATGGCATACACCATTTCTAAACAGAAATTAATTGCTAATAGTGTGAATAGCTTTGTGCCATTCAGTCTTCTGCTCTTTAGTCTCTCCTCCAAAAAAAAACATAAAAAAAAAAAAAAAAACAAAAACACAGCTTAATAATGTCTTAGAGGAGGTACACATTCCTCTTATGTAGGCCATACATGGATCGAAATTTGGCTGGTTCAGCAGTGAGTAGCTGAGATTCAATTCATGTATGGGCAGGCTGATGGTACCAAAGTCGATCCATTAATTCAGGGTTTAAAAAATCTGCTTGCCTGCTCGCCAAATGCGAGGAGAAATTCTTGTGTGGCGAGCACAGATGATGGAGAGGTTGCACCTGCGCTCCAAGCCTCATTGTGAAGCCGAGTTCCGGTTTCCAACTTCCGGTTTACGGCTTCTTTGGCATCGCCATTACACTGGCAGCGCCGCCTTAGGGGACAGGTGCAGGAGAGGTCCACTCTACTCCACTGAGAGGAGACACCCTCTCCACCGCCGCAGGGGACTGGAGGAGAGGTCCGCTCTCCCCCGCTGTAATAAGGGTATTACACAAGTCTTGGTCCTGCTGTACAATACAAACCATGGCTGCTCTATTAGCACATCTTTGGTAAAATGTTTACTATTGTTATGCCATGTTTTTTGGCATCTAAATAAGCACTTTTTTGTTTTTTCTTAATGCACTACTTCTCCGAGTTCTCATTTAATAAGATGCTGGAGATAAAAAATGCAAAATGTTTACTATTGTTATTTATTTTATGCAATGTTTTTTGGCCATCAAAAGAGGCCCTTTTTTCTTTTTTCTTAATGCCACACTTCTTTAAGGCCTCTGCTGGAGATAAAAAATACAACATGTTTACAGTAACTATTATTCCATGTTTTTTGGCATCAAAATAAGCACTTTTTCTTATGCTATACTTCTGTAAACTAAACTTACATCTTTAAAACAGACTTTAGTTACTAAGTTTCTTTTTAAAGATGCAGGAGATAAACAAAAAAAAATACAAAATGTTCACTACAGGTTTACAGCTGTAAAACATGATATTTTGATTGCACCCTATTTCTATTAACCACTTGAGCCCCAGAGGATTTACCCCCCTTAATGACCAGGCCTTTTTTTGCTGTTTGGCGCTGCACTAATTCAAATGATAATTGCGCGGTCATGCAATGCTGTACCCAAACAAAATTTACGTCCTTTTTTTCACACAAATAGAGCTTTCTTTTGGTGGTATTTGATCACCTGTGCGCTTTTTATTTTTTTGGCGCTACAAACAAAAAAAAACACGAAAAATCTTGAAAAAAACCCAATTTTTTCTACTTTCAGCTAAAAAAATATATATTGTAAACTCAAAGTTAGTCATATATTTAAGCCACAAAATGTATTCTGCTACATGTTTTTGGTAAAAAAAATCTCCAATAAGTGTATATTGATTGCTTTGTGTGAAAGTTATAACGTCTACAAACTATGGTATAGATAATTTGAAATTTACACAGCTTTTACTTTCTGACCGCCCATCACATCTCTTGAGGTGCTAAAATACCAGGATAGAACAAACACCCCCAAATGACCCCTTTTTGGAAAGCAGACATCCTAAGCTATCTGCTGAGAGACATATTGGGTCCATGGGAAGATTTTATTTTTTTTTCCACAAGTTCTGGAAAATGACAAAAACGTTTTTTTTTGTTTTTTTTTTACACAAAATTGTCATTTAAATGATTTATTTTTTGCACAAGCCATGGGTATATGTGGAATTATACCCCAAAATACATTCTGCTACTTCTACCGAGTATGAGGATACCACACGTGTGACACTTTTTGGGAGCCTAGCCACATACAGGAGCCTGAAATCCAATGAGCACTTTGAAAGCCTGAAGGTGCGTAACTTCTTCATTTCACTTCCCCACTACCTATCACAGTTTCGGAGGCCTGTAATGCCAGGATAGCACCAACCCCCCCAAATGACCCTTTTTTGGAAAGTAGACACTCCAAGGAATTTAAAAAGAGGCATGGTAGTATTTTGCAGATCTAATTTTTTCTCACAAGGTAAAAAAGAAAAGAAAAAATATATTTTTATTTTCTTTCTTCATTTTCCAAAACTTGTGGTAAAAAAATAAATTCTTCTATTGATTCAACATGCCTCTCAGCAAATAGTTTGGGGTGTCTACTTTCCAAAAAGGGGTCATTTTGAGGGGTGGGGGCATTTTATGTGCCCAGCATTAGAGGTTTATGCCAAACATCACTCACTCTTCTAACCACCTGAAGACCAAGCCTTTTCTGACACTTTTTGTTCACATTAAAAAAATCTGTATTTTTGCTAGGAAATTAAAGTGAACCCCCAAACATTACATATTTTCTTAGAGCAGACACCCTAGTAAATAAAATGGTGGGTGGTGCAATTTTTTATCTCACATATTTACTTACACAGCGATTTTTTTCAAACGCAATTTTTTTTGAAAAATATACACTTTTTTTAATTGTAATGCACAAAAACACAATATATTGGCCAATTATTTGGTATGATATAAAAGATGATGCTATGCTGAGTAAATAGATACCAACATGACATGCTTTAAAATTACGCATGCCCTGTGCAATGGCGACAAACTGCATACATTTTTAATATCTATAGGCAACGCTTTAAAAGCCTTTACAAGCTACCATTTTAGATTTACAGAGGAGGTCTAGAGCTATAATTACTGCCCTTGATCTGACGTTCGTGGCGATACCTCACATGCATGGTGCAATCGCTGTTTCCATACTGGGAAAGGGTCAACGCTCACGACCGCAGGTGTGCGCGTGCGCGCGGATGGGCGAGGGTCTTTTATTTTTTTTTCTTTTTTTTCTGATTTATTTAATTATTTTTACACTGTCCCTTTAATTTTTTTTTTTTTTTTTTAATCACTTTTAATGCTATCTCAGGGAGGGGGAGGGGGGGGCATTTTCTCCCGCTGCTTGTAAAGGCAATTCTGCAGCTAATTAACCACTAGGAATGCTTTTACATGAAAGCCCATTGCCGGCTGAAAAAAATGATACCAGGATGATGCCTGCAGCTGCAGGGATCACCCTGGTATAACCATTCAAAGTCCAGTGATGTACGAGTACGTCACTGGTCCTTGTTGGGTGTATATGCTATGTTCTTTTTTTCTTTATGCAGCCTGTGGGCTGAATGAAAAAAAAAGAGAAGAAAATCTCTGCCAGAAAAAGTGTGTGTGGTGGTATGCCCACCATTAGAAACCTCCCTCAATCCACCCACTTCTAATGGTGGGCACACATGAAATGTGCCAACAAATATAAAATATATATGCCGAAGCATAGGGGCCATCCACCCACTGGCCACCCCAGGCCCCCATGCTTTGGCATATATTCTCTTTTTTTTAACTGTGGATGAAAAAAAAAAAAAATCTCATCCGACAGCACTGCACACACCTACTTATGTCTATTCTGAAAGCAAGACCCTGTTGCTGTCAGAATAAACAGGTCAGTGCTGCAGTTTGACGTTCCTGCAAAAAATCAACAATGATTAACAATAAAACAAACTCAATAAAACAACTTTATAAGGAAAAGTGTGTGGTGGTATGCCCACCATTAGAAACCTCCCTCAATCCACCCACTTCTAATGGTGGGCACACATGGAATGTGCCAACAAATATAAAATATATATGCCGAAGCATAGGGGCCATCCACCAACTGGCCACCCCAGGCCCCCATGCTTTGGCATATATTGTTTTTTATAACTGCGGATGAAAAATCTCATCCAACAGCGTTGCCCACGCTGACTTATGTCTATTCTGAGAGCAAGTTCCTGTTGCTGTCAGAATAAAAACAGGTCAGCGCTGCAGCTGAAAGCATTCCTGCAAACAGAAATGGTTAACAATAAAACAACAATAAACCAGTGAAAGTCGAACAATCACAAAAATGACAACAAAAAAAACTAACTATTTTTGGTTTTTTTTTACATTTTTTTTTTTTTTTGGGGGGTATTTGTACTTTTTTATTTTTTTAACTTTTTTTTTGCCAAACGTCAAACATTTAAACAGCTGGTAGGGTCTCTCCAAATGCGATAGCCAGTTTCCTGACTACCTAACATCTTTTGAGACCCTGTGTAAATGTGCCCTGATCTGTGCCGTGCTGTACCCTATACTAATAGTTCACTAGTGTATGGTAGAGGCGGAAGCAGGTCTTGATGCAGAGGCCAGGTTCGCCAGGACAGGAGGGACAACAATAGCGGCTGTCACGCCTAATTCCACGTTTGCTGCAGACACGACATCTTTTTTGGGGTCTTCTTTGGGTTGGGGTACCAGAAATGGTATCGGGAAAATGTCTCTCATGCAGACGGCTAACTGCATCTGGGAGAGGGATTTGGGGAGCAGCACCTTCTGGATACAAAGGGCCCTGATGTTCTCCAACTGGAAATTTAGGTATGATCCACTATGTCCAGTTGCTTTATAGAGAACAAAAGCGTTATATACAGCCAATTGAAATAAATAAACTGACACTTTTATGTACCAGCGTTTGGATTTTCGGGAAACTAAATACGGCTGCATCATCTGGTCATTTGAAGTCCACCCCCTCCCATGTTAAGGTTATAATCGTGGACACAGAGGGCTTCTCAACAACACCAGCTGCCATGGTAATTTGGACGGTCGTATCTGCGTGAATGGAAGACAGGAGGTAAACATCCCATTTGTCCTTCCACTTCACTGCGAGCAATTCTTCATTTCTCAAGCAGGCTTTTTCCCCCCCTTTTTAAAGACGGGTACTTACAAGCCGTTGGGGGAAGCCTCGGTGATTAGATCGCACAGTGCCCACATGTGCAAATTCCCAAATTGAACAAATGTCTAAATAGTGGCACGCTTGAATAAAAATTGTCCACGTATAAGTGGTACCACCATATGGAAATAGGATGATGCCAAGTCCCAAACTATCTTGCCACTGCTCCCCATGTAGTCTGGGCATCCGGGGGGGCTCCAAGTAACTATCTTTTTCCCTCGTAAATCCGACAACTTACATGTATAGCCTGTTGCCCTCTCACAGGTCTTATACATCTTGACTCCCATATCTGGCACGCTTGCTGGGGAGATATTGTTTGATTACAAGGCGGCCAGCATATTTGAATGAGGGACTCATCGATGCAGATGTTTTTCTGGGGAGTATCACACATCTGCAAATTTTTGGTTAAGTGATTTACGAGGGGCCGAATTTTGTGGAGCGGTCAAATTCAGGGTCACCCTGAAAGGAGGCGACTGAGTGAGTTGTCGTAGTAGAAGTGATAAAACGCCTTATCGTTCTCATATCTATGCCTGGCCATGGCAGCAGAGAACACGGACATGTGAACAAGAGGGTCGGTGGACCAATAACAACCAGCAATTGATTTTTATCATTAATGCCCTTGTTGAGGGTTAGGCCCAAAAAAAACTTTAAATTCGGAAACCGTAATGGGTTTCCATGCGAATGGTCTGGCAAGGTTTGAATTCTGGGTTGGCGGCGATAAATTGTCGTGCATATAAATTGCTT